TCCTGGGTTATTACCTCTCCTGATAAACCCACTGGAAGCGGTTTCAAATTCTCGTCCATGATCGACACATATACTCCTGGTAACAGTTTTCCGACAGGACAAAACTTCCGTTTGTTGTCATCAGAATCTGAAAGCTGGCGGAAGAAAGTAACGCTCAGTCAGCAGTGATCAATTAAAACAAATGCATCTGATCATCACAGCAGACATTTTTCACTCATTTCCATATCATTTCCGAACAAGAACACACGGTGAAAAAACACTCTAGACTTGTTGCTTCTCTTTAATCGCAACCATTAAATTAGAAGTAAAAGATTTAAAGATTTCTGTAAAAAAAGTGAAAATTAAGAAAGCTTTAAAATACGTATAAATGACAGTTTTTTTTTCTTTTCAGGCTCATTCTACATAAAATACTTCGGCTACTACCTTCCCGTAAATGCTTATAGGAGATCGTAAAAAAAATCACGATATTTCAAGAGTTTTTTTAAGTGACCCAGAGATCTAGAACTGCTATTTAACGAAATAAAACTTTGTTTGTCGGGGTACCTTCATTCAGACTGGAACTACAAAATTTTGGTTAATTCAACAGGAAATATACACCAAATTGGAAGGGGGGGGGGAATAAAAGAAAAAAACAACTGAAAAAGAAAAGAACACAAGGATGCTTAATGATGAAGATTATCGTGAAAAGACTTAAGAAATGTAACCGAACGTTTTTAAGAAAACCGAAACAACTTGGCCTCATTACTTTCTGGGGCATAACGAGTACATACTTCACTTTGAAAAGGCATATTGGTCAGATCTGCCGTAGCCACGTCGTGGCATTCGGAGACGCTGTACAGATTCAATAGCTTTATCCACGGTAACGTTCTCATGCATCTGTCTCGAAGAGCTGTTGTCACCACCTCCCCACACAACCAGATGATTCTCAGAGAAGACAAATGACCGGGAAGATCACCATCTCCACAAGTTAATAGCGTCTCTAGAATTGTTGGGAACAATCACGGTCAAAACGATAACATATCCTTAATCCTACCGTGTCATTCAAATGGACTAGAGCCACCTTACAATGAGCGTCCCATCATAACTGAAATAACAATCTGTCATTTTAGGATGAACGTCAAAAATTGAGCAACTGCCAAGGGCGGATCCAAGGGTGGTTCGGGTGGTTCGATCGAACCCCCTAAATTTTCCCTCAAAATGCTGGAAATCATGTTTCCGAAGACCTAATTTTCAAAATCTTGAACCCCTCAGAAGAGGAACAATTCTCCGAACTCCCCTTGACTAAATCCTGGATCCGCCCCAGACTGCGCACTTACCCCTTCCTTAAAGGCTAAACCCGTCATCAGTTGACTGGTGAAATCACTTACCAAGAAGGGATGGAGTGAAGAGAACTCTTGTTATTCCATTCTTCTTCATAAACTTCAGCAGAAGATACGGATCATAAATGACTGAATCAGGAATGAGATAGAGGGGTATTCCCTTCAGCAGAGGTCGCAACAGCTCCCACACAAAGAAAATATTACAAGCCACTCGGTCATCTGCCTCGAAGGGAAAATTCTGAAACCTCCAGGTGTAAGAAAACACTGCACCACGATGAGGGCAACATATCCCTGGAAATTCAAGTTACAGGAGTGACTAGTTTAGTAAATTTTAAATTCGCAAGGTTTTGTTTACATTCAGGGACTACTGCCTTTGTTGTTTAAATGTGGAGGGTGCTGTATATTATGTTTTACTGTCCGTCTGTTTTTTCTTTATGGTCCCATTTTGTAGTCTCCTAATTAAGAATCTGCTACGAAGACGGCATAGAGAAATAAAACTGTCATTAAAATTATACTGTTGGGGTGAGAAGGGGGGGTTCGTCTTAACAAGTAACAAGTAAGCACGGTGGTGATTATTATTTAAATACACAGGATTCTTACAAGCAAAACATTTTGTACGGATTTCGCCCCTAAAATAAATCAAGCACTTCTATTAATAAAGCTTTTGCTTCAAATTATATCTTGGCCATTTTTTACTTGCTTTTTACCAGTGGTTCTCAGGTGCCCAACTGTATGGTACAAGTTTTTGCATTTTGAGCGAAAATGCGATTTCAAAACCTATTTGATTGTTTGGGGAAATTTTGCGATTTTTATCGTAAAAAATCTTGATTTTTTTGAGAAAAACGCCATAAGCATCTATCTTCCTTTTTCTTTGGCAACAGGTTATCTAACTGTTCATGTTTCATGAGAACTAGTTTTTAGAAAAAGGACGAATTACTTGCGCATATCATTTTTATGAAAAAAGCTTAAATCTTTTAAGGGTTTACCAGTACATTAAACGATACGTTTTCCACCACTCATGGCGCTCGTAGTATCTCAATCATTTTATAAACATATTCAATATGCATAGTATTTCTCAAAAATTTTGAGCAAGTAAAAAAATAACATTTAAATTACTGCGTTGCCGGGAAGTGTTTAATAACCATTGGTTCAAACGCCAGCTGAGGGTTCATCGAGATAAGATGCATTTGAAAAGTTTGGGAAGCACTTAAAAAGCTCGAGTTGCTCTCGGTTACGCCTCCAGCGATTCTTGGGGATCTTTCTCCAAACTCTGCGTGCTTTTTATCTCGATCTCGATGAAAGCACGCGGACGTATGAACCAGTACCTGCAACTTTTATGCGGGTGCCATTGAAAAAAAAAAAAAGAAAAACAGAAAACGTTGTCGAAAGGAAAACAAAAGGTTCAAACACCGCAAGAGAAAGAGACGACAATTATAAGAAATTGAAATTATACTCCTCCGCTGCTCGCAACGTTTGCAAGTGCGTGACGCAAACGCGGCCGTATTACTTGTTCTCAGACCCCCTTTGAGAGGTCACAAGAGCGGGAGAAAGTTTTATTGAGTATCAATTATTGATAAAGAAATCAAATTTACATTTCTAAAACCAAATTGCACACTTAGCGTTCTTATTAAATCTTTGAACATCTATTATTCGCAAATCAAGGCTAAAAGCCATGAAAACATCTGCGATGATAAAATAAGTTTTCTCTCTGAATAGGTTGCATGTGAGTCACATCGACTTAACGGAAATAACAGAATAAGAAATATTACACCAAAGGTCAAATTTTTTGCCTTTCAAATTCACGACAAAAGGAAGAAGGAGAAATTCGACTACTTCAGGTCCACGCTTCAATAAAAGACAAATGCTACTTATAAATATTTTATTTTTACTAAACAAGCCAAACTTTAATTGAAAATATTAAAAAATGCATATTCTTTTTAACAAGCGATCAAGTTTCAAAGAAAACAACAGCTGATTTGTACTTTGCTCTCTGAAGAATCGCTATTTATAAAGTACTTACCTTTAGGTTTGCCAGTGGTCCCTGAAGAATAAACAATGTATGCCAAATCATCGATCGTACTTGCAACCTCCTTCAGAGGCGGCTTCGAAGAATTTTCCCCTTGGAGCTTCTCTTCCCAGCCCTCGTTCAATACAATCACTTCAACGGAGCTAGGTAATCTCTCTTTAAAACTTGCAGTCGTAATAACCGCTGCGGGTTTCGCATCCTCCAGAATCGAATAAAGCAAAGTTTTAGGATAAGAAAGTTCCAAGGGCATGTAAGCCCCGCCGGCTTTCAAAATTGCGACGTAGGCTATAGGGTATTCCAACGATCTCTCGAGAAATATACCAACAGCGACATTTTTTTTTACCCCTTTGTGTCTGAGATTCGTCGCCAAGACATCCGTGAGATGGTCCAGTTCTGAGAAGGACAGTGATCGTCCATCATCCGACACAACAGCTGTGGCGGTCTGTTGGGTTATTTTCATCTGGCGCACAAAAATCTCGTGAAGACAACCTTCCGTTTCGTAATCCATGGTATTGATTCGGTTCCCTCACTGTTACTGCGGGAAACTAGTAAGGGCAATCAAACGTGACCCTTCATTCTGACAGGATATCCTCCAGAGGACAACAAATCCTGACTTCTCACCAACCACGTGTTGAGGCCAATTGTTGTTGCTCATCACACCACTTCCTGTGAGTGCAAATTTCCCTACCGGTTTGTCGACACGGAGTGTTTTGCCAAGTGTTTGATGCACGAATACCAATGAACAGTATGAATAGTCAGAGAAACTCTGAAAAAAAACTCAATTGCCGTTTTTTTTCACCAGAAAACAATTTCATGAAAAAGAAGCAAGTTTTGACGTTTATGTACTAAGTAGAAAATCAAAGGTTGGCAAAGGGTCAAGCTTCCTGTCATACAATGTAAGAGCACAATCAGGTTTTCTATTAAGAGTTTTACTTGACGATTAGACTCAATCTTCGCTTTTAGGCAAGTCTTTGCTGTATTTAGTTCTTATTAACCGAGTGGGAGGTCTGTATGGGAGAATCTTGACCGAGGTCGAGATTCTCCCATACAGACCGACCTAGCTTGGCTAACAAGATGTTTATTATATGGCTGTGTTTTATATGCCAATTTTTTATATTCTTCGAACTTTTTTTCTAGACCGGTCTAGATGGGAAAATCTAGACCGCTTTCAGTAGATTTCAGCCAATCCAATTCGCGAATGCGGTAGTTCCCAGTCCTTGGGAGACAGCCATATAATAATTATCTTTACACGACTCGGGCAGTCAGAGAGCCATTAACTAAAATCAGCCAATCAAAATGCTCTATTGCCGGTCAATATTCTCTCAGTATTGGACCGGGCACTGTCCCGAATGATACCGCACTTGTCCCTTTGAACTTCAGTCATAGAAGAAATCTCTTATTAACAAAGCTTGCTCGGGATCGGGACCATACTGGAAGAATATCGGCGCTCGGTCCGTACTGTCAAGACCTCGGGCCGATATTCTCCCGGTACGGCCCTCGCGCTTGGTTAATAAGATATATGTAACAAAGGCGTGCAAATAAAGAATCACATCCGCGGACTGTCCAGTTTCATCACAACAAATCATGAAGCTTTCGTCACCTCTCTGTTCATAATATATAAAGGATCTTCGAGTCAGTGTTCTTGTTTAGTTCGTTAGTCACGGAAGGCAGCGTTACCGAGTACAGGACATAATTTACGAATCCACCATGATAAAAGAGAGAAGCTATTGTCTGGAATACTCAACGACAGTTTGATTGAAAATTGCTTCTATTCTTGCGCAGTGTGAGACAAATCGAAAACTTTTCACGCACGCGTAATCTGTGCGAAGGTGGATCAGTATCAGACAGCTGAACAAAAGATAACAAGCAAAGCACCAATTCCCTTCCCCTCACCCAAACTCTCAATACCTTCCTGAACAATTGTTTTTGAATGAACGAGTTGTCAGAACTTAAAAATTTGCTCCTCCCCCAACCCTAGAATGGTCTATTTCTTGCTACACGAAATAGTTATAGTTTGAGGATGAATTTGATTGAAAAAAAAAAGCAAAACAAAACAAAATCACAGCAGCTGGAAAATTTTAGTATACATGCAAAACACAATCGAGTTAGGTTCATGAAATTCTGTTAGATAAACAACATATCTTCTGGTAGGGGACTTACAATCTTCCATATTGAGGATAAACTGCATGGCTTCTCAATGTTTGCTGAATGATTATCACAAGTCTTCAATACAACCTCTTTTAATTAGTGGCTTAAGCAATGATCAGTTAGTTTACCTACCAAGAATATACTATGCAAGTCACACTTCCAGATACAAGGCCTTGAGCACTTTTTTTCTCTTAAGTAACCTGCCCTCAGGATTAAAAAAAAACCTCTCTGCTTTAGAAAGCTAATTTTACAGCCTTTGTCACAAAAGCTGCTCATGTGTGGCCAATTTCCACTGGCATGATCTGTTATGAAATAAGAGATTTGACTTCTGAGCAAAGCATTTGTTGCAGAGGGCACACTGTAAGGTTTCTCACCACTTTAAACTCTGAGGTGTTACAGGAAATAACTAACAATAAACTACAGCAGCCCATGACATCAACTTAGATGGATTGATTCACACTTATCCTTAAGAAACGTAGGGGCTCTTCAATAGTACTTCTGAAAAACAGTTAAGAGTTTAATGCTGAATTTCTTTACTGTTTCTACTGATGCAATTTTTTATCAGCCACAGCAAGACCAACTGCTGTGTTCAGCTGCTTGCCTTTCACAATTCCCCAGACTACATGATCATTAAGGCCTAAGATCTGAGCGGTGGCCAATGCTGCACCATCTGGATTAAGAGTAGTGGTGCAACCCAAACCAGAAGGCAGGCGTAGAGAAGACCAGATGTCTTGAGCGCCCCACTGAGATGAAGGTGGTGGGCAGTTAATCACAGGGAATGATGAATTGCCGGATAAAACTGGTCCAAGGCCATTGCTCCGTCCAGCAACTGCAATGATGACAATAGGGATGCCTTGGCCTTCATACCACTGCAGGACCAGCAGGGCATCTTCCGTACCCTTGTGTGCAGAGCAGATGCGAAGATCAGTAGGAATGGCAAACTCCTTAAGCGATGACTCAATCTTCTTACAATGGTCCAAGTCACTTGGAGAGCCCATGAAAACAACAGCATGCCCTGGATGATGTTGGTTAAGCTTCTGCACTTCACCTGCAACCCACTGGTAATTCTTTTTGACCTGTTCCAGGGCTTCTGGTGTGACCTCTGGAAGATTTCTGTACACCTGCTTGTCACGCATAAGACGCTTGTCACCAGATGGCCAAATCCTCCACGAGTCATTGTCTACGACATCAGCAAGAAGAAGATCACCTGTCTTGCGGTCAATCCCAAACTCGATCTTCATGTCGACAAGAGCTACATCCACAGTTGCCCAGGCTCTTTCGATGATCTCAAACACAGTGACAGCTGTCTCACCCATCACATTCAGCTCATGTTTGCCAATCTTCCTTCCACCTGCAACAAGTCCTGCCTCCACACACTCTTCATAGGTCCAAAATGGATCGTGCTGAGCATCATCTTTAAAAAACATTTCCAACTTGACAGGAGCAAATCTGTATCCTTCCTTGACTCCAGGGTACCTCTTCAAGAAAGAGCCAGTGGCAATGCGGCGAGTCACCACTTCAAGTGGGATCATATCGCAGTTAACCCCAATAAAGGATTCATCATCATGCTTCTTCACAAAATGCGTCTTGACACCACAGGTGCTAAGCAGCTCAAATATAGCACAGGTAGTAGCATTGCTAAACTTTGCCTTGCCAGCTAAGTCATTTTTTCTTGTGCTATCGAAGGCAGTGATTTTATCCTTTGATTTCAATAGCACATGATTACCATCTGGCGAGTCTGGTAATTCATAGATGATCTTGGTTTTACCTTCATTCAGCTGTTTTCCAATCTTGATGTCTATAAAGGTTACCACAAAATAAACTTTAAGTATTTTAAATTTACAAAATGAAATTTAAAAAAATAACAACAGTAGAAGAACAGAGGTGGTATTTTCTTGATAATGAAAAGACTAGCTCATCAACATTATCCATGAATGTTACTCATCCTTGGCAAACTATTGTTCAAAATGAAGGTACCTTTGAAAGCTTTGGTCAGTGCACCAGAACAAAAGGTCCTTGTCAAAGCTCCAAATAAACTAAATCATGTACATCTATTTACCATGTGCCTCTCCAAAATTAAGAGGGTAGATGTTTCAACAGACAGCAAACAATTGTTCAAAAAAACCATCACTTCCAAGTATTTGTGAGTTACCAACAATTTGTGCTTTACATGAAAGATTAGAATTTCATTTGATTGGTTACTATAACCATCTCAGTGTTTGAAGGAACAACAACAAAGCAAACAACAATTGTGCATTGTAGAAATGCTTGAATGCATTACTGAGCAAAAGCATCTAAGGGCCACCCCATTATCCTGCTAAAAAAAAAAATGTTTTTGTTTAATTTAGAACACAAAGCCACCATTTTCAACTTTCTCCTCTGTAGGTAGAGGTTGGCAATAGCTCCAATTTTGGGTGTACATTTAATTCAGATTAGTGGAGATGAGCCTTGCCCTTGAATTCAAGGAGTCAGTCTCATAATTCATCCTGCAGAGTATGGACAGTGCCTGGGCAATGAAATTAATTTTTTTCACCACCACATGGAATACAGGATGTTCAGCAGTGGGCACAAGTTTGAGGAGGTGACTATGTTGACAATACACGATTTGACCTTTCATGACATAATTATTGGGATCACGTATGGAAATAAAACACAATGATAATGTTTCAAATTTTGTTCCCACTTTCGAAATCAAGCGTAGGTAGGGCAAAGGGTGAGGAAAAAAAATTAGTTTGGGGCGAGAGCACGTGACTTACGTCTCAGCTTCAATTGTTGATTGCGTAACTTGCACCAAAAGCGTATAAATAAGAACCAAGATTTTGTACGCTCGTCGTGTCGTCTGAAAACACCTTGTTACCCGTAAAATAACCGTCGTATCTCTATACGGCCACAAACTTTAGTGTTTACTTTCATGGCAAAGGCAATCGACTCAAAGAAAGTTAACGTTAGAACAATTTGATGCATGATAAGCAGCACGTGGCGTTAGCAGTTCAGTGCAACTATTTTGCACAATGAAAAAATCTTCACCAAAATGGTGTCCATTTGGCTTGTAAGAATGGCATGAGTTGACAAGAAAGATAATGAGCTTATTCTTGAGAAGGAACGCTCCTGTCTGGGCGCTTAAGACGTCCTCGTAACGCATGAATGCTACAAGCAATTAGAATCTATGACATCCAACGAAAAAAAAATCCAAACTTCAGGAGTCAATCGCTCAGTATTTTTTTACTCCTATCAACCTTAAATTATAAGCTTTCAATTAACGTACCAGAGGCTGGTTTCTCGTCCGCCATTGTTGAAGAAAACCACTGAATACCTTCTCAGGCAGTACGTCGCTTCGAAGATACACAGTAAAATGTGAAAGCAAACGCACGTGGAAAAAATTTAATTTAGTACAGGGAACATGTGATTCAGTCAGAGCCAATCACAAGGTCTGATTTTCGCGCTATTATAGAATGTCCAATCAGAACCATCAGAATCTCTGCTGCCGCCAACGCAACCTATTTAAATTATCTCAGGCAATCTTTCAGACAATCACGGACCACTACCAAATTTCTTTTGCCGGACGAGTTCCGTTCTCTTACTTAGGTTCGGTAACTGAATCGATGATACAGGACGATGTGTTGCTTTTTCAACTTTCCACTTATCTAACTCTTCTACAAGCTTGTGATATACCTAGTTTTGTGTTGATCAAGCTAAGAATAACTCGACCAACATGGCGTCTCTCGAAACAGGCTTAACACATTCTTGTGGCGTTTTCGCTTGTGTAAGGGCTGAAGGAGTTACCTCAGAGGAAGTTGATGTCGCCAGTATGATTTCACTTGGCTTGGTTTCACTTCAGCATCGGTTAGTTTGATTATATCGATTTTACATGCCTAAATTTAAGCAAGGGATAGTCGTCTGGTCTTTAATCAATACAATTCTTTACGTATTGATAATACATGTGACAAAACTTAGTCAGACAATACAGACTACGTTTTCTTCGAGTCGTCGGTCGCATCAAGTAGTAGCCATAGTAAACTGGTATCTGTAGACATCGTACACGACATCGTCGCCATCGTAGACGACAAAATGATTGGTATTTAGAGGAACGAGTTGAAACTGAGCGGCATTTAGAGGAATGAGTTGAAAGTGAGATTCTGTTCTTCGTTGTGATCGGCAGATTGGCACCTTTAATAGTGGGATGCTAACCTGTTGTTGGTTCCAATATCTTTGGCAATAGTACTGTTGCGTGAGCACTTCAGAGTTGGGGACTCCGATCTTGATTATTTCTTTATCTCAAGATTGAAAATGATAGCTTCCAGACAACGAGGTCTTATCACGTGGCATAGACTAATTAAGGAATGAAAAGAATTAAATAATTTATAGTGCGTTATATAATGGATGAAATGTGAAAGTGGTAAATGTGCGGGGAATATTGTTAGTCTTGAACAACGTTAAACAAGCATCATCTAAATATATATAGGGGGTAAGGTTCTAAAGAAACTGTGGTGCTGCGTTGGTGGGGGGTAACATGGTAATTTGGTTATATCAGTAAAGGTGAAATTGTAAATTGGCTACCATAAAGACTTAAAAAGCTGATTTTTTTAGTGTTAACCAGAAACATCAGCTTTTTAGCTCTTTATGGTGGCCAATTTACAATTTCAACTTAGTTGATATAACCAAATCATATAAATATGTTTGATATCCAACTAATTTTAGATGTTCACCCACTGGGTTGTGCGATTACTTTGGGTTAATACAACATTCATAAATTTCTTATGATTATGACCCTCAACTGTGATTGTAATTTGTCTTAAATACCCCCAACCAATGCAGCACCATGGTGTTGTTATAAACTTACCCCCTTTATCCATTCAAAGTAATGCTCCTAATCATTTGTCTATTTAAACACGAAGGCACGCTATAAAAGGAGCCTTAGGTCCCACTGGACCATTTGTCAATCAACCGTCGTGTGATGTAGAACTCTCAGAGTCAAGTCAGCTTGAGCTACAGCTACTCCAAAGCAGTGAACAGTGGGTGCATTCCTCAAAATTTTTTTATGTAATCATCACGATATAAGAATTTTTGAGATTTGTATTTCCTTTCTCCAATGGAAACTGTCTTTATTTGTGTTGGTAAATTTGAGATCGAAGTTGGTGGTTCACACATTACCTCATGCCATCATGCTGGTGGAAGTAAACAACAGATATCTCAGTAGCTCCTTTTGTTTGTCTACCAACATTTAAATTTGACCCGCACACGTCAATGGTGAGTGACAAATGAGCCTAGGTCTTCCCAGGGAAGACTTCCTTATATAGTGTGCCTTCATATTTAACCTTAGATGTAAGGCAAGGGGTATTGTTGCCATTGCACCTCCCCAACACTTGCAACCCTTGACTTCAGCCGATACTATTCAGCTTAGTGTGCTTTAGAAATGTTGTTAGGACAAAATCATATCCCAAGGGATGAATGTATCCAAAATTGTGCTTTCTTTCCAAGGGGCCAAGAAAGTACTGGAATGGTGACAAATGATGGCAAAAAGTTTCATCAGCACAAAGGAATGGGACTTGTTAACCAGGTCTTTCAGGAACAGCACATAAAATCACTGCCAGGACACATGGGTATTGGACACACACGCTACTCAACTGCAGGGGCATCAGAGCTCCTAAACTGTCAACCATTTGTAGTAGACACAATTCATGGATGTATGGCTGTTGGACACAATGGAGAACTGGTTAATGCTAAAGCATTGCGAAAACAGGTTCTCCGCAATGGAACTGGTCTATCAACAGGAAGTGACAGTGAAGTAATTACACAGCTGTTGACAGCCACACCTCCATGTGGGGAACTTGATGGTCCAAACTGGCCAGGAAGAATTTACGAAATGATGCAACTCACGCAGTTGGCTTACTCGCTTGTCATCATGACTCAGGACTGTATATATGCTGTGAGGGACCCTCATGGAAACCGACCACTGTGTATTGGTAAGCTTATGAGTTTGAATAGCAGCCCACAGATGGCACGTCTTGGTGGAGAGACTATTCAGAATGGAGAAACTCATGATGAAAACTGTACATTAGGTTGGGTTGTGTCTTCCGAATCCTGTGGCTTCCACTCATTTGGAGCTTCTATGTGTAGAGAAATCAAGCCTGGTGAAATCGTGGAGTTAACAAGAAAAGGTTTTGAGTCAAAGAGAATTGTTCCACTTCAAAACCCAGAAAAACCACCATCATTCTGCATTTTTGAGTATGTTTACTTTGCACGACCAGACAGCATGTTTGAGGGACAGATGGTCTATGGTGTGCGGCAGGAATGTGGTAGGCAGCTAGCTCTAGAAGCTCCCGTGGAAGCAGAACTAGTCAGCACTGTGCCAGAGTCAGCCACACCTGCGGCGTTGGGTTACTCCTTACAGACTGGTATTCCTTATGTTGAGGTCCTCACCAAAAATCGTTATGTCGGACGAACATTTATACAGCCTAGTGACAGGCTACGGAAGCTTGGTGTTGCCAGGAAATTTGGTCCACTGTCAATGAATTTCAAGGGAAAGAGGGTTGTGCTGATTGATGATTCTATTGTACGGGGAAATACCATGGGCCCAATAATCAAACTCTTGAAACAGGCAGGAGCTAGAGAGGTGAGTTCATGTGCATAGCCTTTTTCAACTTTTGCAAATTTGGATTGTAAAAACAGGTCTAGGATAAACAGATTAGAGAATCTAAGTCAATCACACTACTGTTTTGGAAGGAAACTACAAAATTTCACTCATGACAATACAAAAGTAAATTAGAATAATGCAGGTGCAAAAAAGTTTTAGTTCCTTCCTTCACCCAAGTGGCTCACACCATCAGAGCTTATCCAAGTTTCTGCAGCATGACTTAACCAGGATGTAAGTCCATTGCAGGTTACCCGATCAGGATTTTGTTAGGTTTCCTTGACTGTGTGATGTAACCAATTAATGCTTCGAAAGAGGCACTATGTGAGTTGAATATCTTTCCCAAGAGTGCAACATAGGGATGCATCCAGGTCTAGACTCCAGTGTTTCAACCAGGAGTCCAGAACTTCATCCATGCGGTGGTTGTGTTGCTTACACACAGCACATTCTTACCAATTCACTCCCATACCACTCCTTGCAGTAATTGGATATGTAATCATTTCACCTGGGGAAAATAGCAGTTTCAGAAATTTTTATCCAGCAGAAATCAAGATACAAACAATTCTGTCAAAGTCCGTTAACTTAATTACTTCCTTATTTTACACTAGGTTCATATTCGAGTTGCATCACCACCAGTCAAGTATCCCTGCTACATGGGAATCAATATTCCAACAAAGGAAGAGCTGATTGCAAATAAGATGAATGCAGAGGAATTAGCAGCACATTTGGGAGCCAACAGTTTGGTTTACTTGAGTTTAGATGGCCTTGAGACAGCTGTGCGCTCTGGCATTGTCAATCCAGCTGGTGAGAAGATTGGCCACTGCACTGCCTGCTTGAGTGGACAGTATCCAGTTGATGCACTGGATTGGTGAATTAAGTTACATAATGTTTTTCCACCAATTTAACCAGATTAGGGATTCAAACCTGGACTGAGGTGGATATGGTGAACATCAAAGCATTTACCATGGAAATGCAAATTATTTAATCAGACAAAGGAAACTGAAAAATATTTAACATAAAGCTAATCAAGTCACTAATAACTGCAAACTTGCTTACAACAAACTAAACTAACGAATAGCAAGCCAACAGCCACAAGTTAATGAGAACTATCAGCAATAATTGCTCAGTAGTAAATAGTTGCCATCTGCAAGCACATTGCTTTAGAAAGTGAAACTGCTGATGTAATGTGGAAGAGACTGTTAAAAGTATTTACTAAGATGAGAGCAGTGTAGCAGGAGTTTAGTTGACTAGGCATTCATTAGAGCATACATGTATGACAGGAACCTATTCCTGATTACTTTGGACATGCACTGTAATTTATTCTTTTATATCAGTATTTTTGATGACTTAAAAAGTGAAAAGTGTAAGATCAATTTACAAAGACGTATTACTATTTAGTAAGAAAGCCTATGTGTGAACCAGACAGTTTGAATTCCATAAGAATATTTTAAAATTTTAAGAGATTTTGTTTTAATAGAAAAGAGTAAGACATAAAGTCAAGGATAGTTTTCTATTAACTCTAAAGCTGCCCTCAACTTAAAGTGTCTTATCATAAATGTGAGATATCTGGTTTTTGCTTTGTTTTGACAGGGTCAATTTTGTAAGTCAGGTTTTGAGATTTTGTTTTGATGTGGGTGCTTCAACTGTGTTTTTGTGATAAGTGAGTAATGATTCCAGGGAAAAACCTGTCATTTTAAATTTCCTCTCGATACGAGCTTGACTTTGCTCAAAGTAGTCAGGTAGCTACCTTTTTATTTATTAAATTACAGCTTTTAGTTTAAAACTCTAAACAGGAAGAGTTCAAGGGGTTATGTTTACTTTATCCAATTGTAGAAAACAAGGTCATTTATTAAGTATCCATACATTAGGTAATACACAAGAGTGTCTACCAAATTAATTTTGTGGTACATCTGTCAAAAATATTCATTGGTGAGATTTCTATCAACCTTAAATTATTTTTTTGTTGTAAGAAACTTTTTTGGGATGGATCTTTAGAATCTTATTTCCAATTTAAATTGTGTGGTGTTTTGAAATAAATGAGTGATACATGCAATGGGACAGATCTTCATTACTTACCGGCAGGTTTAATGCCTTGCTTTTTCATATTTCTCTCGGCAAAGGAAACAGGATTAAGTAATAGAGGTTTAAAAAATCAAGTGGAACAATTATTACTGACAGTAACTGTAAATAAAGAAAGATGTTTTTCATTCTCTCAAAAATGGGTGGAAGATCAATCTGACTAGCAAGGAGGAATCAATCCTAAGTCCAGCAGGCACAAGTAACATTGGCATCAGAGAAAACTTGAGTGTTAGAATCTTTGATCATGAAGATGACAACACAAGATGAATGGGGGCACTCAATATTTCACTTTTTCCAGACTTCTTTCAAAAAAAGTAATATTCCTTGACTCAAAGTGAAACTCCTTGCATTTACCCTAACTTCTTCCAGTCCTTGAATCTAATCATTAATAAACAAGGGTAGTCACCTTTCTTAACTAACATGCAAAACAAGCATTTTCTTATCCCCAATCTAATCCTTTGAAAATGTAAAAATTGAATCAATGTCATCACGAAAATTCCAATGAAAAATAAATTAAACTTTACTCAATTTGCATTTCTCAGGCAAATCACCTTTGGTTAAGATCATAATATGCCTACTTAGCAGCACTCTCAATATTAACAACTTACTTGATAATTTTTCTCCACAATTAAATACATGAATCTCTCATTTCTTATACTACTATTTTCTAATCAAAATGCATTTTCAAGACAATTCAATATTGTCATGTAACCTCAAATTTAAGGTCTAAGAATTAATTCTTATGTCCATGGATACTACTTTCAACATTGGCTGTTGAATTTGTCTGTGATATAATTTCTGGCTTAGTAACTGAAAGAAGTTTTCTGTACAAAAGTAACATTTACATTATCCACTTTAAACAGATACTCCTCAAAATATTTACAACCTTGTTAAGTTTCATACTTGTACATATAAATAAAAAATCTTCACCATCAAACAGTTGCAATTATCACAAATTTTCAAGAAATTAAAAAATTCCTAGCTAGTAACAAGGGGTATCAAGAAAAGTAGCTATAGTATCCACAATGGTATCACTAAGAATTTAAAGAAACCATAAATGCAGTAATACAGGTTAATGAGTAGAGAGAAGTAAACTTTACAGATATAATTCCCATCCTAAAGATGTTCCCTTCCTAATTCTGACCAAAAAGGGTGCTAAGGGATAGAAAATTCATGTTTTCCTGTTTAGGGTCAAATACAGCACTTTCTTATTCTGAAATAAACAAATGTAGCACTGACAAATGCCATTGCCATCAAAGTTCCTGTAACTTGTTATTCTTAACGTGCAAGCAAGTTTGCAACAAGACCTGAGTATACCAAAGGCACTCTGTCATCTCACTAACCAGCAATTTTGGTTGGACACAAACCACAATGGCTATCCAGTGCAATGCTCAGTTTAAAGTCGCTGGTATTATTTTTAGATGTTACATTATCTTGAGGGAAACTCTGCTTTATCTGCCTTTCTACCACCCTTCAACACTGCTTTTCAACATTTTAAAGAACTGCTTTCTGGTCTCTTTCACTCTTCCCTACTTCATGATTGAGTAATTCTTTTTCCTCTTCCTGTGATAGATTTGGGGACTCTGCATGAAACGGAAACCCAGCTTTGTCTTTGATAAAGTCTCCATTATAGCTCTCAATCTTTTCATCATCAGTTCTATTAATTTCCTCCTGTTCACTGAAAAAGATCTCAAAATTTAAGCTCTTGGGTCGTTGTTTGGCATGTGAGCTGCGTTTATCTGGATAGCGATGTTGAACAGTGTGATTTTCTCGGACTGCTGCTGACAACTCCTGGTAACTCTCACCAACTGCAAGTTTCTTTCCATCTTGAAGAGATTTGCTGAGTTTCTCTAAAGCATTAACCTAAAGGGAAAAAACAATTACTTATCAGTCAAGTCATGTCCAGATCACAATCAAGCTGAAAAAAAAAACACTAATGATAATTTTTTATTACTGATTGATACAGCAGTTCATCACTGCCAATTAATGCCAGTGGTTTGTTATCATTGATTTAGCATCCCAATCGTCTTTTAAGGGTCCCTTTAGGACATTTCCCCATCTCCACTATGACCTCCAGGTATTGTCACTATAATAATCTGATAGTGCAACAATCAGAAATCATCATAGCTGCTTCAGCAGGGTGTGCCAACTTAAGCCACTTGATGCAATCACCACAAAGTTGACAAGTACATCACTACAGTTGACCTTAATTCACTCAAAGCTGTGATTAGAAAAAGTGGTTGAAGTAGAAAATGCTGTCATGGGAAATAACCCTTCTTTGTATCAAAATTTGGCACCTTCATAATCTTAAACATCTCTTTTGGAGCTTGGGATCTATGAGTTGACAGGGGATTGCATAAATAAATTTTGGTATGAGAAGTTACAGACCAATCTCTGAATTTACAAACTGTGACAACTTGATAAGGAATTTTGACACGGAGTACAAACACAAGGAGTTATGGATAAGATATTTTACAGTTTCAATGGTTACCACAAATGCTTTTAAAATTATTAACTTTCATTCAAGTCTGTGTACTGTGTGCGCATTGTAAACTTGCTTTTAACCTGATTCACTGTTATTTTAACCAGCTCAATAGTCAAGATATCTTCCAAAAAAAATAACAACATATTAACCATAACAAACATCACAAAAAAAAGACAAATCAAACAAACTAAAAAACTGAAAAAAAAAAAAACACACTCATGATATCCTTTTTAAAAGTTGTCAAAATATTTATAATAATCTTACCATAGTTTTGTTTTTTTTGTGTTTTGTTTTTTAATGTTTATAAACTTTGTCAAGTCATTATTACAAACAACAACTCAGAACTCACCTGTGGGATCAATACCTTACCTTTATAAATTAAAATCTTGAACTTGGAGAACCCATAAACAGAATTAGATTAGCATGATCGTGAAGGACTCGTTTACGACATCTTTAACAGAGGTAAAAAGTTAATTTTTCCTGAAAATAATTTTTGGTTGGTCATTAAAAAAGAGAAGGAAATTTAACTTGCAAAGTAGTGTCATTTCACAGGCATAAGAACATACAGTTGCCAATTTTGAATGTTGCATATTATTACAATTTAGATTATTGATTAATACACATTTTTTAATTTCAATCATAGTAAATGTGATGTAATATTTTACAAGTCAAAGCAGTTATGGCAAATACAAATATCTCTGATTGAGCCATAGAAAACAAATTCATCAAAGAGGAAGCTGCAAAGGTTTAATAAACTTTCAGTTATGTCCTATGAATTTGCTTAGCTTGGTCTTTGAATTATCAATTTAAACAGAGTTCTTTTATTACGAAGTGGTTTTCACTCTTTCCACCAGATTACTCCATGAAAAATGGATTGATCAAAACAGCTGTTCAATTAGTAAATCAGTTAAGTTTAATGTATTGATTAGCTTTCTGTCTTTTGGTTATCAACTTAAATGTTCAATAAGTCTCTAAGAAAAAGCTTGCTCTCTTATAGTGTTGCTTCCTCAACCTTTAGGAAAACTGGATCAAGACACCAAAGAAGCCAGACCTTGAAAATGTTAAAAGAAGCAATGACTTTTCTCTTGCATTTAAAATTCAAACTTCCCACTTTTATTGAATTTTATAACATTATTTTCAAAAGGTTATCTTGGTTTTAGTACAAAAATAGAAATGAAAATATTACAGGAAGGAATACCACTAAGGGCTACTTTAAAAATGATGTCAATATTTATATTTACTTCATTGTGTTATTTCTTCCTTGAAATAATATTTATTGGTAATTCAATTAACATTATATTTGTTAAAAATTATTTAGTCATTTTGTTCAATACTTAACTCCCTTAAAATGTTACTTTTTAACTGCTTTTTTAAATGTTAGTGTTTAAAATAAAATTTTATCTTATCTTATACCTTTCATTGCATAATAACATACCAGTACTTTAAATTGTGACTTAGAATTTTAACTTTCACAACATAGGTAAGATTAGCAGGAAATTTCTGTGCAACCTGGGTATTTAACACTATAACCTAAATTTCATTGGTGGTTGTCTAAGAACTTTACATTTGCCTCGTGCAGCAGGTAGGTTCCCAACGGTACCATTTTTTGCCTTTCGCTGTGGACTCTGTGGAGTTGGGGACCCACCAGGGCTCTTCCCCTGACCTAAAGGTCTCTTCCATACAGGAACATAATTAGCAGGGGTTCTCACAGAGGGTCTCTTTTGGGGAGTGTTAATTTTCACACTCTTCAATTGTTCTGGTTCATCCAAAATGGTGTTGAGAGAGTCTGTGGCTTTATGAAAATCCTTTCTAATAATGTTCCTTGATAGAGGTGAAAGGGCTTTTCTTCCTGCATGGTCCTTTTGTGGACCCTTGTTCCTGGGGTTCTCCCTTCCTTTCTGTGCAACAAAAACAAGTGAGAAATCAGTTACTGGAAGAGCAGAAAGTGCGGAGTTCCTCCATACTGCACACTCTTGAAGCTTTATCAAAACGAAGTGCATGGTTCCATAAAAAATTTCCATTAATAGAATTTGAAATGGGGGAAGTCACCCCAAAAAGTATACTAATTAAAGCAGAGTGAGAAACTGCTAAGATGGGGTCAACTGAAGACTTCGAGATAATCCTTATATAAAAAGGAAACATAATGGGAATTAAAAAACTTTGAATTTTCAGGTCTTAAAGTGTACACAAAAAGCATCAATCTCTGATTTAATTTTATGGTAAATTAATATTTATAAAAATGGCAGACAAACTCAAACTCAAACCAATATTTAGACTCTTCTTAAATAAATAGAAGTTTATAAAGGGATTAATAGAAAGATGTTTCAAAAATGATTTATTTCAAAATAGCATTTTAGTTACAGCAATATTAAGTTACACTAACCAAAGATGCAATCAGTGTCTTTTCTTACAGACAAAAACTATGTAATTCTGAAATTCCTAGTAATTGGTTATTTCCCTAAGCTTATCTATACATGTAGTTACCCATTCAGGAATATTTCAACATCAACTTTACTTTTTTATAACAAATTACAACAGCTTGTTGGTTCAGAGGGTTATTGTTCATGTTACTGGGATATCAGTAATAATTTATCACCCTTGGTTCATTAAATACTTTAATTTAAGTAAGGAATCGTGAGTACTAGAAAAAGTATGCGTTCACAACTCCCTAAGCAACAAAGATCAGTTCTGAAAATAAAAAATTATTTTTCAATGCTTGCATTTCAGTTTTTCATGAAACTCTGTAAGTGATACACCTGGCAGCTCCTAGGAGGTACATAGAAGGACCATTTAAGATCTCCATCTTCACACTTTACATGCAGCTATTTGAAGTTGTTGTTGATAGACAACTTAAATCTTTTAAATCATTAAATTTACCTTTCACTTACAATTTAAAATCTTAATAATACCACCTTTAGCTAATATCAATATTAAATTTTCTTTACATTTACCTGCCATTTAAGTTTTCCTATCACAAGTACCTACCTGATAAATCAATTACTCAATAAGAAAAAAATTCCAAATACTGCTCCATTTGAAACACAACTCATGGCTGTAACCAGTAATTACTTACCAGTTAAGAACCATTACAAACTTGCTCCTTTTCATTTAAAGTCACACAAATTTTTAAATCTTGGTATCATTTGCTTAATGCAAACTTTTTTTTCTATATAAAACTTTCAAAATTATAGCTTATAAACTACTTTTATTTAATAACTTCTCTGTTTTTTTCTGTATATTGACCTTTTCATTACATCAAACACAACAGTATTAACCATAACTTTCATTTAAATTCTGTATGATAACTCTTCTTCACTGCTCAAAGTTAAATTACTGCCTTGATACTGATATAAACATCTTCAAAAATTTAATTTGTTACAAAGAAGCTCTTATTTAATAAGTAACTTAATCACACGGAAACAACTTTCAGTGCGTTTTAGGATTTACATGATTTACATGCTCAGTTAATTAATGTTACCCTAGACTTCAACAGCAACATTTGCTCCCTCTGACAGGCTCATTTTAAGTCTTTTAAGTTCCTCAGTTAAGTTTACTAAACCAGTGTTCTTTTTCTGTGAATGATCCGATATCTTTGTTTCAGAGCTGTCCTGAGTTTGTTCAGCAGAAACTGAGCCAGGACTGTGGTTAGCACTGTCCCCTTTAGGGGCAACCACATTCTCATCTATAAGTGCTGGCTTGAGAACAAGATCTCTTTCAACAAATTGCCATAAGTTAACAGAACCTGTTTTTGTAATTTGGGGTATGCCAAACTTCTCAATTGGAGTCCCATCTTTATGTTCCACCCTTGCACTATGGGACCTTTTCCTCTGTCTAACTCCATTGTCTTCACAGGAATCGTGAAGATTTTGATCACTATGCAAGCTAAGGCTGTCATCCTGTAATGATGGGCTGTGCTTTGTCTTTGAAACGGGCTTTTGCCTATTATCAGACCAGCCAAAGCCGTGTTTTGCTTGTTGAGGAAGTACACTTTCTTCGCTCATGGCATTAAGTACTAAATCAGAAATCTCAAGCTGGGATTTGTTAACTGGACTGTGAATATCTGGACTGCTCACATGCCTATATGGCAGATCCCCGCCAGTTAAACTTTCTATATTTTGCCAGGCATTTTCATAAAAGTGCAATCTGCCCTCAGACCCATGATGTAACTTATGAGCAGTGCTAGGTTGTGAAGGCAAGTTGAGAACTTCATCAGAGAAAACAACTTTCTTTGACTCGATGAGCCTCTGGTTATCTGTCTGAAAAGATCTCTTCTTTGAATTGGACTGAGTTTTCTTTGAGAAATAGTTTACCGTTTGTACAGCAATGGCAGCTCCCCTAAGTCTTCTTCTTGGATCAAAATTTCTTGTGATTTCTGTTTTAAGATTGCTATGAATGTCCTTATCTCCTGTTGTATGACCCTACATAATCAAAAGAAATTAACCTTTAGTCTTGCTACATTCATTTTGTGGCTGTTGACAATGACCCATTTTAAATTATATACATATACATGTAAACATTTGTACCCAGTGCTGACCTTCACCTGCCAAAAAGAGCTACAAAGTTACAATTATCACAACTGTCGCAATGACAAATTAAAAGGAATTGCAAATAGTTTCTAGTACACTAATTAAGCAAGTGACCTTAACATACTTAAACAAATTTTTTGCCACTATCAGTAATAAACCAGAAGTTTGCAGCAAGTTTGAAATGTCTGTCACATACTTTTTTTAAGTAAAAAATATGTCTATAAACACACAGTTGATAAGAAGCAATGTATTCCCCCCCTAAAATATAATACTAAATACAGCAAAAAATAAGTGTTGATGAAATAGTCACCTTTATCCATGAGTGATTTAAAACTTGAAGAGCAGAGAATCTTTTATTGTCATCAACAACAAGCATGTGGTTTATAAGATCCTGGGATGGGAGACCAGATACTAAATATTATTGATAAATAAGATGGCAAATGCTTTGCCAAAATCATGTTCACTTGTCTATTAGGTAACACAGGCATACAAGCAGAAAACTTCAGAGAGTCATCTAGCACAAAGTCTGCCCAATCACTAACCAGTGTTACACCCATGGTTGCCCTTTCCTTTGATTGAGATGAGAGAAAATTCAACCAATTATTTCCCACCCCTCAAACAAATACTGAGTGTACGATATCCACTCAGCCTTAGTCAGTCAAAGCCACCCCATCTCTGGCCACCAAACAGGGGAAAACAAATAGAAAACTTAATTGCTCTGATAAACACATGTCAAAATAATGTTATCATACCATAACAATTATTACTCTACTTGTCAGGGTCTGTAATTAGTGTCAAATAATGCCCTTCAAATCATGGATTATTTGAAAATAAATATTCCTTACCCCTTGGGTGAGTTATTATTAATATTGTTCCATATACATCCCACACCACTATAGGGAGTTCCCTTCCTTGGATATGATCTATAATTAAACACCGGTCAGAATTTTTTTTGGGACACAGCAATTCATACCTTAGCTGAATCTGATATGTCATCCCAAAATGGTGAAAGGTATTCAAATTCTCCAGCAAGAATCAAGTCAAACAATTCATCCTGGTCAAGACTGAAACATGAAAGGAAAAAAGTTAAACACATTACATAAGACTTTTAATTGATACTGGTTTGAACCCAGGTGTAACAGTTGGTCAAGTAGAAGGTGTAAACGTCTTGTGAGAGGAGAACTGGAATGGAACTACTGTCAGAGGTTGGGAAGGGTATTTCATCAACCTCAGCTGTAGACAAATTGAAAAACAAAGGGGAATTCCATAACTATGAGCACCCATGTATAATTCTGTATTTAATTACCATTGAGAACATAAAATAAACTCACAAGTAAATAAGATGATTGCTAAAAAAGGAAATAAAAGGAATAAAATTATTTTAAAATTGTTGATAAATATCAACAAACCTTCTGAATGGTGGAAATCCACAAAGAAGAATGTAAGTGATAACTCCTGCTGCCCAAATATCAACTTTCAGACCATATCTGTAATAAAAAAAATCAAACTAAATTGTAAAGCCCCAATGCCCTTACTTTATTGCTGCTTTACAAAAAGCACCTCTGCTTTGGATTAACACTTAAGTGTCAGACACCAGCCCCAAGTTACTACCGGTAACCTTTATGTGAACTCCCAAATTCAAGTCATTTCTAATAATTCACAGGACGTTTATTGTTGGACAAGATCATAATGAAAAATTATGATTTACCTGTGATGAGCACTATAATTACTTGCTGAAGTCTGAGGCTAATACTTGATCTACTAACTGCAGACAATTAGGTCACTTTACTTTAATTTTAATCACAGGCAATAATCTTTCTCACTGAATTTCCCCCTGTGTTGGTGAGTAATCTGCCATTGTCTAGTAAAGGGCATCTATTAGACACGATGCATGAACAACACAACATTTTTTTAACAGAACACTGTTAAGTGGCACTGCAAATGACAGTCACCCAAATCACATCACTTACATTGCAATTCAAAACCATCATTTGTGGGCAAAAATTGGCAAGTTAAGTTCAGGACTCTTGTTCAAGGTAAAGTAAGGAAGAACCCACCCAGTGATTTTCTCTGAGCATTATTGAGCACTATCCTTCTTGTCAAATTATTTAGCCCTCACCCTGTTTCATCTAGGATTTCTGGTGCAACATAAGTTGGTGTCCCACAAACAAGAAACATGGGGCTTTTCACTTCAGTGGCTAATCCAAAATCTGCTATCTTCAGGGATTTTCTATTATCTGAATAATTTACAACCTGTGGAGAAGCATACCAGAAAATTCAATTAGTATTCTATATTGGATAAAAGTTACCACTGACAGTCACCCAAATCACAACACTTACATTGCAATTCAAAAGAGCTCACCACCATGGTACTTACTAATAAATTTTCTGGTTTAATATCTCTATGTACAACATTCATAGAATGCAGATAATGCAGTGCTGATGCCAAGTCGCGCACCATATGGCTGGCATCTTTCTCTGTGTATTTAGTGGCCTTTACTATTGCTTCAAAGAGATCTCCTCCCTAAATAAATCAAAACAAAGGAATGTCACCAAGAAATGAAACATTGGTAAACTTCACATTTAGCTTTAAATTATTCCCTTGATATCTTGAAAAAAAGAGGTAAGAGGAAAACAATTTCTTAATGCCATCTTGGAAACTTTTCTCATAAAATTTACAGCTGAGGGAAATATCAAAGCAGACTTCCTTGGGAAGAAGTCAGAGGTTGGGGGTGTGGGGGGTGGGGGGAAGAATTATAAGTCCCATTTTGGCAGCTTTTCTCTTTTAAAGCTAGTGAAATTGTCATAAATACTCACGTAAACTGGTGACAAGGCCAAGGCTGATCAATTGCTTTGGATAGTTATTAGATGTAAAATGCAAACCTGATCACAAGAAAACATCTTGATTCTCACCTTGACTAGTTCCATAACAAGGAATATTTCTTTGGGAGTTTCGTACTCTTCAATAAGTTCCACAATATTTTTATGTTTCACTCTTCTTAATATACTAATTTCATTTTCAACCATATGTTCCTGCAAGAAGAACATCAGCATCAGTGAATCAGGAAGGCAAAATACAACATCAGTAACAATCTCTTTTCTTCTGTAAGCAATCACATAAGGTTTATAGAAAACTAGCGACACCCACCTAACACCAGACACCCCAGGGAGTGATCAAAGTAGAGGTTCTCCTTGCAATTTCAGTGCCACATACTCAACAGAGTGTTGAGAATAAACAAATCCACTCCTAAAGAGTGTTATATTCATTTTTTTTTTAAATTATTTCATTTTATTTTATTCACAACCTTACAAATTACAAATATGGTCACTAACGTAACTTACAGTACAATATGACAACTCACATTATTTACAGTAGAACGACGGTTTACTCTACTTACAAAATGAGTGTTATAAAATTATTCATAATAACATGAAGATTATCCTAATGAATTTAATAGGGAATGCATAGCACTTTGAAGGGAGAATTGCTGGTCAATCTTGAAAATTAAAGGATTTGTTTGAAGTACTGTAGGTTTACCCAACGGAAATAATTAAACTGACAGGAAAACAAAAACTGTATTGGTGCCCTGTGCTTCACATGCAGTATGGGATTAATTACAATAAACCTTTTCACTTTCACCCTCACCATCAAATTGTAAGCTTAACTAACAATGATCTCCCAAGGTGGGTGCAAGTTGTTATGAGACATTGCTAATTTGGGTGTTGTTTCCAGGACTTCAGTCTTAAACACCTTTAGCAATAAATTTATCTTATTAGACGTTTTGTTGTGTAATATCCCTGAGTATATTTACAAGTTGCGCCGACAAGCCCACAGGGCGAGTCAATATACAAACAACAGGTAAAAACACTCAGCCATACTTCACAACAAAGTGTCTAATAAAAGATTTATCACCCAACATGCCAAATTGTTATTTCAAATTGTTATTTTTAAATATCGCATGATATTTGTACTCGTCTCGTGCGTTATTTGTACTCTACGCAGCATATTTGGATAATAACATTGAGTATCTTTGCAGATGCCCTGGCAACTCTCTACCAAAGCAAGCTAAGTGAGAGAACTGCTCATGATATTCTTTAGACCTTACCTTTCCTTTTACTTTAGCTTTGCTAATAATTTTCAGTGCATATTCTTTATTAGTTTTCCTGTTGAGAAATCCAGACAAAAGGTCCATTTACTGGTAAATGCTATCTACTTGATAGGACTGTTTCTGAATGCCCCTTTAATTTCATTCACAGGTTTGAGTTGTTCCCTAGATATTTGTGGCAAATATGTGACACCTGGAACAGGCAGATGTTTTTAAACATGAAACAATGAGAAGGAGCTCCAGATATCTCTAAAAAAGATGAAAACAAACAAAAAAACAGAAAAGTATTGCCTCAGACACCTAAAGTTACCGTTCACTACACAAGGCAGAGTAGGAGTCAACAGTCCTCTTCAGGCAGCCACACTTCCTATTCTTTGTTGAAATGCCTGTTTTCTAAAGACACATAACAATTCTGACATCTGGCATGTCAGGCCACAAGGTATGAAAATTTCTGAGGGGCCACACACCCACAACTAAGCACAAGAACTAACAGATTGATTATGATAATAATTTGCTCTGTTCATGCACCAGGCTGTGGCCCTAAAACAATAGAGGAGCTTCTTAGGGTCATGAAATTTGCTGAAAGATCACAAAGATGGCTTAAAACTTTTACAAACACTAACAAGAAGTACCAAGAAGCCAAACAAACAAGACCAGATGGGTAAATTTGGCTTAGCCTTTCTTGACCTAATGTTATTATTACCAAATGTCATACAGTCTTGAAACCCCTTAAAAATTATCTGTGGATATTTGGGTGTGATGAAGGATTTAAAGGACTGCTCTACAGTCTACTAATTTTTTTATAGGTTTGGCTTTTGTAATTTACAACAAAAAGTTATCTGTGATGCATTACATTATTACAAAGAAAGGTTCACGTCTAGTTAAGACTCGCCAAGTCACTCACCTACTTTTACATTCCCTTACAACAGCAAAATTTCCATCTCCTATTACTTTTCCTATTCTGTAGAAGCCATGCACTGATATTCTTTCTCTTTTAATTTTCTTGGGATCTTTCCCTGTACCTGAAAAAAAGGTAAATATATATATATATATAAATGAAAGATAAACAGAGCACCATATAATAACTTCCAATCTTGCCTAACAAGACTACCCAGAATAGAACAAAAACATTAAAACTGAGATCTCTATTAACACGACACACAAGAGAATACAACATAGACTTCAAGCAATCATGACTTCATTTTCCCTTCCAATTTTAAAATATACCACAGAGAACAACCAAACTAGACATATTAAAATTCAAATATCCAGCAACAAATTAGTAGAGTAACTAAGAAACAATGTTTCAATTATAGTTTTGTATAAGCAGTAAGTTGTGGTTAGTGCATTCCAGACAACAAATTTAAGACAAAATGAATATCTTTCTTTCTCTATATAAATAAAAATTTGATTTGTTCGATTAAGCTCTACAAAATTTGTATTAATGCAAAGATGATTCCTTTAAGTTAGATAAAAAATTCTGCTGGTATAAAATTTGCTTCAACAGATTACAGCAATATCCACATCATTTTAACAGAAATAACCAGAAATGGAAACAGATTTTAAAACATAATTTCAAATGAAATATTTTATACAATATTTCCCTAATTACTTAAAGCTTACGGTAGCAGAAAAATCTTTTTAAAAAATTCAGATCATTTATCAAACAAAATGTATCTACAGGGCTTCTACAAAGAAAAGAATATTAAATTAAGAGCAAAAGCAATAATTCTTCAGAAGGTTGCAACTTAAATTTTATGCAAAACTCAGTTGTTTCTATTTTCTGCCTTTATTATAATGAAACCACAGAATTCATTAAGAATCAAAGAAGGAATCTTGAAATCAACCAATGAGAAGGCTCCCAGAGGAAAAGTTTAAAAACACCTGCTGTAAAAGGAAGTAAGCTAAGCTGCAAGTCTCTTTTCATTTAAATACACTTGTATCCAGACACACAAGCTTTTAAGATTGATTGAACTTTTTTGATTGCCAAGAGATAACCTGTCAAAAACTTAACTAAAGCACTCTTAAGGGTCAAATTCATTTCCTAACCTTTATTAAAATAAATTTTGTTGAGACATTTTCATGTTTAATTTCATTACTTTATGTCTGAATTCAAAGGTTCTCAATGAATTAAAATTTTTACTTTTATTTTTTCTTTGAAAGTAGTACTTTTAGTAATTCAAGAGTTAAAAAGCTGACATGCCTTATTTTTAATGATATATTTCAGGCTGGTTTAGTTAGTAATACTACTATTGAAACTAGATTTAGGTTTATAGGTAGATTTAAGTTCATACATGTGATGTAGACTCTTTAAACTTATGCATATTCAACTTTGGTGCAAAGCACTATCATTGGAAAATGAAACAAGGATGGTAGATGTGTTGATTACATGAGGGGAGAGATTAGGTTGAAAGCAGTTGGAACTTTAGAAGGAACAAAGAGAGGTTTAATTATTTATGAAACTGTACCCTAAAAGGGAACTTCAATGATAGGATTGGTAACAAAAGAACTAAAAATAGATCTTCCATAAATGGAATTGTTCTGTTTGTATTACAATTCACAAATTAAAGGTAAAGTTATTGCTTGATAACAGGAAAAAGAAAACAGGGAAAACTATAGCCTGACCTTTATTGAGATTAAAAGTCCAAACTCCAAATTCAAACTAGAAATGTTAAGTAGGAGAAGGAAATTGAAATTTTCAGGTGATGATTCCCTATTATAAACTAATTGACTGTTTGGAAGGACAATTAAAATGAAACTTTTTTGAAATATTGCACTTGTGAAACAGATATAAAAATTGATATAATTGTTACTTTAATTTGCATTTGAACACTACAAGCCCTTCACCAGATTAAAATGTCCTTAAAACTCACAATTACCCCCTAATCAGCTTTAGATTACTGAGCAGTTTTAAATGTTAAAAAGAGAGACATTAATTTGAGCAAAGAGAAGAGACAGAGCTGGAGTTATCATCTCCATTTATTTGACTACTGGATAATACTCACTAACCATTCATTATTCTACCAGTTCTTAAGGGCTCCAAATCACACACAATGGACTGAAAACATTAATTTTACAATTGGATTATGTGTTCATGGCTTTCATAGGCACAATAAAATTTAAGCTGATCAATGCAGGAAAATATTCCAAAATGGAATAGGCCTGGCATTATTTAATATCTGATAATTTAAGTTGTTCATGATTTTAATATCACTGGTCAAATTGCCACAAGTCTACATCTACCAGGAATCACCAGGTGTTAAAAAATGTTAAAATAAACAAATGGTTAAAATGAAAGTCAAAAAAAATTTACATGGCTATAAGTTGCAAGTAAAATTTGATAAATTAATTTTTAGGCCAAAATCAAGAAAACTGAAACTGTGTCTTGAATCTTAGTCATAACAAGTAATAAATCTTCCTTAGGTAAAATTAATAGACAATGAAGTCAGAAAATGGTGGCAGCCATTTAAGTCAACAATCAAAATACTACTTTAGAGTTTTGAAGATTATAATAACTCTTATTCCTCTTATTTTTGGCTTGCCTGGTTTATACTAGAAACTAAACATTCTACAGCTTTTTTGGCACTCAATGAAACAGCTTAATCATCAACTATGCATTCTAACTAAATTGCATAACAATTTAACAGCATTTGCTGGCTTCTGACAAGTTGACACTGTACTCTACATTTTGAAGCACTTGACTTTATTAATGCAGATAAATTGGAACCTAACTTAAAAACAAATTTTAAAACATGATTATCTTTTACTTAGCAGAATTTCAACATCAGCATACAATAATGTATTAAATTTCAAAAGGGAAAAAAAGTATTTCTCCAAGTTGCTTCAATGGTTTATCTTTAGCACTTGTTTTCTTTTAAGTTAGAGTTGAATGAATGAAACATTTAATTCAAGCTCCCAATTCCATGAGAGAAAGGAAATAAGCAAGGAGCTCCTTTGAATCTACTCAAATGATGCATCCACACCAGAATCGATTCTCTCTGCAGAGAAAGCATATGACATCAAGGTTTAGTGATTTAGTTGTCAGAGATTTCCGATTATCTCCTTGTTTAAAGTGTGCACACTAATGATATGAAGACAAAAACACCATTGTTTCCTTCATTACATTAGTGAAATCATTGGGCCAGTTTTGCCTCAGACATTTTCAACCATATTAAACAAAAAGGTTAAAACTAGATGAAACATATCAAGGGGCAGCTTTAACAATTTCAGAAATCATTACAAATTTTGTGTTTTTGTCTCCATATTGTGCAAATTATGTTTTGTGTGATGCAGTTAGCAAACTATCCAATAATATGCATAAATAGACAATTAAATCAGTTTTGCACCACCCATACTCTCCAACAGGTACCTGCATTAACACCTTGCTATTGCCACCTGCTCAAACCCATCCATGCATGGTACTTATGTATCTTGAACACAAATTCTAGTTTTCAGATCCCCCTTTCCAAATAAAAACACCTTTAAAAAAATCCTCAAATATAAATTATTTAGCTCTCGTGAGGTCAAACCATTGTTCCTGAGCAAAAATAGCTTACAAATTAAACAAAAAAACTGTCATCCAATTTTAATTTACGATTTCCGTGATTTAAAACTGGCCCAACAATAATTCGCTATTGTTTCATCTTTAGACAGAGGGGAGCTCCTTGCAAATTGAAATGTAAATATAGAAGCAATTAAATATTCTCATAACTCAAACACCCTGTGAAATTTTCTCAGAAAAATGACAGCAGAATCATGATTCATCATCACAGAAAGTATAAACTAACAGACAGTTAGGGAAGGAAATAGAACATGAAGAAGATTCACTTTGGGATGAAGAAAGACAAAAGACAAGAGAGCATATGAAACTTGACCCACATGCAAATTCAGATCTGGGAATCAAACCCAGGCCATAATGAGCAGAGAAAAGTTTTCATTCAACTGTGTCATCTCTGCCTCTGTCACCTGAAGCAGCTTTTGCAGACAAGTTTATGCTTTTAGTGTGTGACAAACACAACTTTTTTCTTAGTATTCACATTCTGAGAACCTTCATGCCATTTGGAACAGATCTATCAGCATTAGGATTTGTTTGAATCAAAGACCAGTGAATCACATTAATCAGTATTACTGGTTTTAAATATAATAGTAACTCAAACGATTGACCATGACAGACAATAATTTAGTCAATGAAGGAAAATAAACAGTATACATTTTGACAATGATGAACAACTCAAAGTTATTAGTTAACACAACGATCAAGTATAACATTTAATTTAGTGTTTAAAATGTTACCATTTTAAAGATTAAGTTGGCCTGTCACACAGAAAAAACATATCTCTTTTGTACTGAAGCTGCCTAAAGGGAAATTTCCCAAATAATAAATCTAAAAAAATCAAACTTATTTGGTTGGGATATATATATTTTATTCGTAAAATAAAGTTGATATTTACAGCTTGAATATACAGAACAGAACCTCTGGGGAAAAAACATTTTACAATACCATTTAAGTTTATCAGGTTATTGATTTTAGCTTGGTTTTTCACTTTAGTTGAAAGTTTAATATGCTCTTTGAAAAATTATATCACAAAAATTCAAGGAAGGTTAACTCTGAGTGTATGCTGTGCTTTACATGTTTGGATCAAGCATTAAGACTCTCTATGGGTATTTGTGCAATTTAACATCAGTTCCAGATTAGACTGAGATTTTCAGGTGGCATACTTAACTTGTGTTAAATTATTTCAATGACTCATTCCTGTGCTTCATCTTAGTGAGATCTTTTATGAAAAGCAATCTTTTCCAATGATCCATAGGCTGACAAACTCATTGAGTTTGTCAGCCGACGAAGGGCTAACGCTCGAAACGTCAGCTTTTATAATCGCAACGGTGGCCAATTTACCATTTCAACTTTGTTGATATATCCAAATTATTTCGTTACCCCCACCGATGCAGCCCCAAACAGTTTCTTTAGAAACTATCAGCCTTTAAACTCATAGAGGGCCTTGTACAATGTACTCTCAATCTCAAGGAACATTGCAAAAAGTAACCATCACAGAAGATATTCCTCACCACAGAGAAGTTGATGTTGCTTTAAGTTCAAAGTTATTTCTTAAGTTTTGTTTCAGTTTAATTTGTTCTTCATCTTTTCTTTTTCAAATGTTCTGGGGTTTGTGCAGATGAAATACCAACTTAAAATTTAAAACTCAATTTTATGCATTCATGATATAACTTACATTATTTTTCAAAGTCAACTTTTCTCATGCAAGTGGAGAAAGTGTAATATTAATTCTTTCTTATAGTTTAGCAAGAAGGGTGAATCTAAATGATAAACAAGCAATTGTTAAATTTTCACACTTCAAAGTCGTGAGAAGATTCAGACTTCATCCAAAATCATGCCAATTATAAATATCAAAGATTATTCTATTAATAACAATTAATTCTTAGTTTAAACTAATCCATGCACTGAAATGAATCTTTAGTTTAGTTTAAATCATTTGACAATATGACATCAAAATTCTCCAATATGTACCCTGTAATTTGTACATTTAAAATGTCAAGTTTGTTAAGAAGCTATTTGGAAAATAAACTTGGATGTTTGAATGTTAAACTCTAACAGTTTGATGGAGACCTCAAAGTGTTTCACATTGTAATATTTGGTTGTCAATAAGCATAAACAAACAGTCCAAGCATTCTACTGTATTTGAGTGCCAGAAAGGAATTCCTTGAAAAGCTTCCATTCACTTTGGTCTCCATGCTTCTTGTCAAACAATACACAGCAATGTGGAATTGATGGGTGCTCGGGTGAAAGCAGTTTCATAATTCGTTCAGCTGTGAGGTATTGTAGTAAAATTAGTCAGTTACAAATTGGTCCAGATGAAAAAAGGAAAATGAAAGTCAAATTACATCCTTGAGTCTTCAAAAGGACAGACAGGCTATTATATATCTTTTCTCTGGCAATTCAATTCCAGAAGCACCTACTGTTTTGTTACATTTAAAAATAGAGACAATTTTCTACAAAAATAAGTATTCAAATTATTTGCTTAGGAATGACTTCACTCTTTTCCTTTGACTAGCTTACACAACAGGTTGTGGTATCTTTATGTTTATTTTTTCTCTTTAACAGCAAATCTGCATCACTTTTTGATCTCTTTCTGAGTGTTTGTGGTAGTTCATTGGAATGGGAAATCTTGCGATCATAATGATAATTTTCAACAGAAACTTTTGAATCTAAATAAATTTCACTTCTCTGAGGATGAGTTGCTACAAGTGAGGAAGCTTCATCTAGACTATCATGTTCAATGCTCTGTAAACAGTTTACTCTTTCCTCTAGTTTTTCTAAAGCTGCTTGTAATTCAACAGTAAGCTTTTTCAATTCTCTGTTCTCTTGTTCTAATTGTAGAGTTGTGAAACGATCTTGTAGATCTTCTGCACGAAGCTGATTAAGCTCAGCATCTGGTAAACTTAACGTTCTATGGAGTTTCTTCCTCAGCCCGATTGCTTCATCACATGATTTATCAATTTCTGAATGTAAGCCTGAATCTTCATCTTCAAACTTTGAAAACAGTGAAGGAGTGTTTGGTCGACTACTAAATGGAGAAGATGCTTGGCTACTGAGGGGTGAAGTGGGCCCACTACTGTAGGGTGTGGTGGCACGGCTACTTAATGCAATTGTACCCCCAGTCCCAATTAGTTCTAACTTCTTATCTGGCTCAGATTCATAATCACTGAGCCATACAGTTGAATAAAACTTGTCACTTGATGGAGGGTTTGCCTTTGTTTTAGGTTTCCTAATGACTTTCTTCGGAGCTCCCTTCCTCCAAGCTGTGTATAGTATGAAAGTTTTCTAAGTATCATTCTCAATCCTTTCATTCCATGACACCATCCAATGTGATTGGCCAAAATTCTACTCCTCTTCATATCTCAATACAGCTGACTTAAAATATTACTTTATACTATTTCCTGCTTTGTTATTTCTGGGTGACAATTTTTCACCTCAGACAGAAAGTTGCAATTTGCAGAGAGTTCCAACAACATATTTACAGTTTTAGTGAAGACCTACAAATCACAATTTAATATTAACTGAGACTGGCAGCTTTGATTGTGTGACAGGCAAACCTTAAGCTTTAAAATGGATTTATCTTTTTCAGTCACCGCTTTAACTGTTTATCATACTTAGTGTTTACTGGTGCATATTTAGCTTTAAGCTTATTTTTTTTAGAAAATACAGACAAGGAGAAGGATCAAATAATTTCATTCTGACTTTCACTGAGTATGTCAAATTGTGATCAGAACAAATTTCTCAAGTTTCATCACCTAATCATAAAGTATGGACTCTAATCTGAAGTATTCAAACCTTTCTGGATGTCTGTATTTCACTCAAAACAGGCATGATCTTGGATAAATTTTAAGTGTTTCACAAAAAATCTCACCTGAATCAGGTGATTCCTTCTCAAAGACATGGGCTGGGTACCTGTTTCAAACAAATATCATTTCTTGTTATCTAAAGAGTGTCTGCATCAATATATTTAAAGTAAAGCTTGGAAGTAGTTGAGGCCATTAGGTGATTGTCAACTCAAATTTACTCTGACTTAAGGTGAATCACCAGATAACAGTATTGCATGTACTGACTGGTTTGAGAACTGTATCTTCTTCATTTAAAGGCTCCACGTCACAATTTGTTCAAAATTAAGTCAAAACAACCCATCCAGGTTCTTGCAAGCCAACCATTGAGCCACCTCGACTTTCACTTTACGACATCAAAAATGGCCCAAAATAGCAATTTAAAACCCTTCGCTTCCACGATCTGAGAACACTTTCTTGCAGCATGTGCCCCTATATTTCTCTATTAACTAATGCTGAGAACTTGGTATTCTGTGGGGGCAATTCCCTCTGATTGATAATGATATCAATTATCATCACCTGCCTCCTCAACAAGGTATTTCAATTGTACGGGGAGTTGACTTATTTACCATTCCAAGGGTAAAAATGTGACAGATTGAGCTCACAAGCAATCTGAAAAGCTCCCACTTTTCACACCTAACTGATGTAGTCATTCAAAGTTTGAGAATACATTAAAAGGCACAATTTTAACAAAGGAGTGTACTCTGTGCAATGAATCTGTCCTACACCAGATGAAGGATAGTCAAATCCAAAATAATTTTCCACTTGAAGAGACTTACAGTTCCTCATTAGGGTGGACATAAGAACTGTTTGGAGTCTGCCAAAAGAAAAAGACATACAAGTGATTTTTTTACTATGACACTCACTTGTAAATATATATATATCATGGTGGGGAAAAATCACTTCTTTTATGGATTACTAAACAAAATATTAATAAACAAGTAAACACATTATTTGAAAGATGTTTACTTAAGTTGTAAAAGACTGAAAGCCAAAACGGGAATTGACTAACCCTTCTTCCAGAAGATCCATTTGGAGACTTGGCACTAGTTGCTGTTCAAAGAAAATTTTTCAATCCATAATTATGAAAATGTTGTTCAACACATAGAGAAAACTTATTTACTCCTTCTATATAGAGATAACCATACTTTCTCTGTATGTTAGCAGTAAGATTTTGGTGTTTCATCCAGCAATATTTGTCTTTTCTTGACTATCTTTTCGTTCTGAACACCATCACTTTTAAAAGGTACCTTCACTGAAGGAACACAGTACATCAATCATGTTTAGAAGGAGTTTTATTACAAAATAAATAACCAACACACCTCTTGGGCTGTGTCCATTCACCTGTACCAGAAACATATAAAATACTGTTACTGCTTGATTAAAATATTGTAACCACTCAATTAACTAACTGCAGTGACCATAAGAAGATACATTCATTTCTCTATATCTCCCATAGGAGCTTAATTATTTAAACTTTGTTTTCTAGTAGGACTTGGCTATACTCATTCTCACAAAACACTGACCACTTAGAGGCTTAATTCACATTATTTTAAAAATGCAGTACCAGAAATTGAGTGCTTTGTGAAAAGCTAGAACTGATTTATTTCATGAATGTTGCTCTTACCCTAGCAGGTGGTCCAGGACTCATTCCTCTTTCCTTACCAGCACTCTTGACTAAATGGGAATTAAAAATAAACTAGTCCTATACGACAAGAAGAGACTATACAAGCATATCAACAGCCTGAGACTGCACTGATCAATATTTTAATTTACAGCAACATACTGTCTTAGTTTTTGGCATCATATCTGAGATTCAGTTTCTGAAATCATACCTCAGTGGACAATAATCATATATAACACATCGTTTTTTGCAAAGATAGCATACAGGCTACTATAAGCTTTGGTTACAAATTGTTTTAACCAGAAACAAAAAAAAGTATATCTACTTTCCAAAATCAGGACTTCAAGGTTAAACTATTTCCTTTTTTTAATCTAGAAAGTCATTTTAAATAGTGGAAAGTTAATGAAAGAAAACGTCTAGCTTTAAAATTAAAGTTGACAGATTTATAAATATAATAATTTGTACAGATTTTCTCAATTACAAGCAAGGCATTAACTGTTTAAGACAACTGCAGAAATTATATAAATCAACTATTTTCCTTTTCTCTTGTTTTAAATACTTTGAACTACATGTATTGAGATTTGTTTCTTACCTCATTTTAAAATAATGGAATGTTTATTTCATGATTATTGTAAATTTTAGGACTCTATCCATATGTCAAATTTTACCTGATGCTGACCGTCGCACCTGGCGATCACGCGAGGGAGTATGGCTACCGCCTGAAAACATTTAACATTTACAAATTCTTGTTTAGTTTAGTTTAGTTTAGTTTATTGGATTCGCCAACAGGCACGGACACCGCAACAGCTTGCACCAATTTACTGCGGGCCCAGTAAACCCACCCATCCTACCCCAGAGGAGGACATCTACCACACACTAATCTCATGCGTGGGAAATTAACGTCTCCTACCCCCAACCCTGCAGGAGACAGGACCTCCATTTATTCATCCCCATCTGAGAAGACTAGAATATTTCTTGATGTTATAGAAAGGTAGCAAATTCTTCTCAATTATTTTAAGACCTTGAGTGTTGGTCCAGCCAGGGCTCGAACCCTTGACCTCCCAAACAACAGTCCAGTGCACTATCCATTGGGTTAACTGGGTGGCGGTTCTCTGCCAACTTTGTAGCACCAGGAAGGAGATTTTAAAACCAGATTATCATAACAAATGTTATTTGATGATGATTATACCTTTTAAATAAAAATGTAATTCATGCTTTACCTTTAATGTTTTACAACATAACAACTACACCAAATTGATCCTGGTCATGATACCATTATTTGAAAATATTTAGAGATATTCCACCAACTCACTTCTAAACTTTCTTATGTGTCGACTCTTTTTCCTCCACTTAGTAGACCTATCTCTAGCACATTCAGTTTAGAATTTTATTCCTCAACATTTAAAATGCTTCTGTCTTATAGTTATCTTTGGTCAAAACATGCACAAACATTGAAACCATTGGCCCAAAACAGTGGTTGTCACATTGCAAATCTTTTTAAAAATCTCTGCATTGTCTATCATACAGTTCTTCAAATTTTAAGTTTTAAGGATTTTTTTCCTAAAGCCATGATGATTTATTTTATTCTCATAAGTTATTTCCTTACAGTGTACTGACACCGGAGTATACAAAAAGACAATGAGCTGCTGTCACACTACATACCAGTATCATTAGAGCCACTGTCTCGCCTTCCGCGTGGGGTTCGTAGTGAAGATGATCTTTTCAGGCCAGCAGGCCTCTTGAGATCTCTATATGGAGTTATCTTATAACCTAAAAACAAAGTGTAGGAAATGTTGTGTTGAGTGTTTATAATTCAAGTAAAGTTTAGTGTCTCCTTGCATCTAAAGGGATAAGATGGCACTTAAGCAAGCGAGAAACACTGTGGCCTGTGGGTTAGCTTGATCAATGAATCTGAGTTCAAGTCCTGGCCACATCACTGTACTGTTCTTGAGAAAGAACATTTACTCTCTTTCTGCTTCTGTAAGGGAACACCTGATAGTGCTCAGCAGTAGATTAGAAGTGATAGACTAGCATCCCGTACAAGTCCAGGTGACACACTTCTGTTCATTACCCATAGGCATCAGCAGTAATGGATTACTTGGCCACAAAGTTAACCTCACCACTAAAAAAATAGTTACATGAAAGTGGCTGTGCTCAGCTTCATGCTACCCAAACAGGCATGAACTCTAACATTAAAGGCCACTTAAATCCTTCAATACTTTTTCTTTTGCTTTTTTATCTTGAAAGGTTGACAAGATTCTTCAATTTAATCTGGAACCTTTTTCAACAGTCCAGTTCCTTGAAATTGTGGTTGGGCAAGTAAAGTGCTCTTCTTGATTGGTTTAAACACTCAAATGAAAATTGTTAATTACCACCCACTTATAAAAACAACTTCAATAAAATAACACCACATTCATTTTATTACTAAACTTGTCTTGAGTGTAACATGACCAAACTTTGAATAATAAACAACATTAACATTATAGCACAATGTACTGTAACATTTCCCTTCCCAAGTAATAACAATTTACTTTCCTATTCAATTCTCATTCCATTACAAACATTTTCTGACCAATTTTCTGAATACCTTCACAGACTCCAAAAATAGTTCTCAACTCTAAAATTATTGGTTCATAAAAATTCTATCACCTTGCCCATTACTATCTCTCCTTGACATTTTATATGTAATCTTCAATTTAAAACTTTCCTAACCCTTTTTCCAGACTAAAACTCACAATTCAACATTGAAGTTAACATTGACATAACCTCAATGAATAACAAAAACGATCCATTTAAAAACTGTCTATAAACTACTCAATATTTCGATGTCCTTCTATTAGTGAAAACCCTTTAAAACCATAACTGTTATTATATGTATTACTGTTATTTAGAGAAGAAATGTCTTTTAATTCAACTTAAAAATACCATAAATGCCTTTAAATTCCTTAACCCCTTATATTTTGTCTCTCTTAGTTAAATATAGTATAACACATTTAGATATAATATATAAAGTGATCGTAATTTTAACTTATAGTTTAACAATATTTTGTCTTACTCAATTTTCACTTACATAACAAGCTTAATAAAATTTACTTTCTTTACTGATACTTAATTATTAGAAGATAACTCCTTATACAAAGCTTTCATGACACTTTTTCTTGAGAGCCATATGGACAACCATACATTTCAGATAAAAACAGAGCAATCCAAATTTAACGAACACATTCCCAAAAATAATTAACTTGGTTATCATCACCTAGTTTTCTCTTAAAATACTGTTGAGTGAAAATTTCAGTTGATACACTATTAGTGGCTTTACATGGTTCACTACATTCTTGAAAAGCCACGTCTGTTTCAAGCAGAGTTTCACAACTTCAGAGACTGACATGAGTTGTAAAAGTAAGAGAGAGTTATATTGATAATATGATGACAATTGAGAAAAAATATTGTTATCAAAAATAGTAATTTATCAATAATAATGAGTATATATGAACGATGGTAAATTTTCATGCAAAAAATAAGACAATCCTTGACTAAGAGGATAACATTTGATTTGACGAATGATACTGCCAAAAATACAACTGACTGGTTGAAATTGTGTGGAGTGCATTTTTACAAACAATGTTCAAAGTTTTAAACACATAAATGTCCAGCCTATAAGGTTCTTTTGTAAACATCTTGCAAGGTTTTCAGTACATGCAAACTGTAAAGGCTGATGAGGAAGAAATTGAGAATGAATTGTTTCATCCACACCTTCACATAAATGTAAATACATGTACCTTAGTTAAGGTAAACACTGCAATGGCCTTTCTTTCAAAGAAAGCACATACGAGTATTCTTCAAAGTTGAAACAGGCATTCTTAAATAAAGAGTATGAATTTCAGAGTGCTTGGTTTTCCCAGCACTACAAAAGTTTGGATCACTTCTGAAATGTACCATAATCAATTTAAGAAAAATCAGTGTGCTTTCTTGAATCAAGATCTTCAAAAAGGATCAAATTTCGTACTTGCTTTCACAGCATTTGTTTCTTTTCCTTCAAATGCTTTCTGACCCATCCATGTGGATGATAGGTGGGGTCAATATTGATAAATATTTAAGTTGTGCTTGTGAATCTCTCCGCTATCTGATAACATAAAGGGAACTGCTAAAGGTCTCTAAAAAGGTATTGACAAGAAGCAAATAAATAAAAGAAACAAAATTAAAAATAAATAAAACAAACCGCAACACAAAAAATGTCCTGCATCTCTAGTGAAAGGCTATATATATATATATATGATAAAATAATTGTCTACTATGTGATAACTAAAAGTTTCAAATAAAGTTCATGTGTTATATAATGTTGATAATGTAACTTTGCTGTAATGATAAAATTGAAACTTGATACCTTGGTTAAACAATCTCCTTTTTAACTTACTTGTAATATCTAATTACAATAGTATTTTTAATTCTACTCACAGGTGAGTATTGTGTAATAAATTGATTAAGTTCCAAAGCTTAAATTCAAAGCAAAAACTCGTCATCAATTAAAAACTGAAATACCCACATAAAATATAATATTATATACCTTAAAACCATTGATACCAGTCTGGAGTTGCCTTTTTAACCGCATAAGTAATTTGTTTCTCTTCTGACTGGCCTATTTTGATGATTGATGCACATTGAAACCTGTGCTTGCAAAGTTATGAAGCATATTTGTAAGACTAGACACAGCTAGGCGAGCACTTGTGTCCATCAATCAAATAAATGTGAGACAGTGGTCAGGAATAACTAACATTGGCCAAAAAAGTCAAACTCAGTTTGAATGTGGAATAACATGTGAAGTCTTCTAATTTCAAAGGAAAAATTAAGAAGCATATCAGGCCAGGACTGTTTCCAGAGAGTCAGCGGGTGATAAGTTCAACATCATAGGTTTCAGGTCCAATTTCACTGAAGGATCCTTTGGCTCAATCTGATCTGTATCTTTCTCTTCCCTGGAAAACTTCATTGGCCGAACTGAAGCAGTTGGCTTTCCTTCGCTATGCCCCTGACTCTTGTTCATCTTTTCATTGTAAATGTAAATGTAGTACCCATGGCGACCAGATTCATCTTCAGAATCAGAGCTGTCTGGAGACAGGTTTCGCTGAAAAGGCATTGGTGGCCTCTCTGCATTTCTTGGCCTTCCTCTTATGGCCACTGGTGTGTCTGAACCTGCTTTTGGTTTTATAGGAACTGGCTTATCTGAGCCAGTACGCTTCTTTGTTGGTCTGAAAGATGCACTTCCTTTCACTGGAGTAGGTGTCAGAGGCTTACGCGAGAACCCCGATGGAACCCCAGTAGCAGACTTTGGTCTGCAAGCCTCAAAACTTACAGATGACTTTGGTGTTGGTTTTGGAGATGGTGTGTACAACTTTCTAGAGTAAGTAGGTCTAGGCGAAACAGACCTTGTTCTTACAGGTACTGGCCTTGGTGTTGTTAAATTTGACATGGATGCTGCTAAGATACAGTGCAAGTGAACTGTGAACTTCTTTTCTGGAGGTGGGGGCTCAGGTCGCAGGCCAGGAATATAGGAATAAAATTCTGTGACTGGTGCATGACGCCAACGTGGGCGGAAGCCTGGGATTAAAACAAACCAAGGCGTTTTAATCACTACTCCAAGGAAAATAAATGCAAGGTGTTTGCCATCGTATAAGCGAGTACAAAAACAAGTGCATTTTTTGGTGAGAATTTGGGATCTAACCAGTTCCTATTTCCTGACCTGCTTTGAGCCTGTTTTGTGATGATATCAATGATGATTGAAGAGAGTGCATATGGTGCAGTTGCCATTATCTGCAAGTGCTAAGAGAATAAAAAGACAAGTTGCATGCATCATTGCTGATTGTTGCTCATTTTTGCCTCGCTTACACGAGAGCCAACAGTTGACAGCCTTGTTAAAAATTTAAAACTAAGTGACCCATAACTGCCACTGCTCATTCCTGCCTCATGAAGTAATCACAGGATATAACCATGTCTACTCCCGGTTGGAATGCTATTCCGTCACAAGGAACCACCCTCCCCCTTTTTGGTTTTGGTATCCAAATATATACTGCTGGGTAGAGACCAGCACTGCCAGAGCTGAGTGTCCTGTCCAAGAACAGAGATTAAAAAAGTCCCTCTGATCAAATAATGCAATGTGAGGCCAATGCTTCCTTGAATTTTTTTTTTTTTTGGACCTTTCCAGCCAAGTTAAAGACATGTCTACTTAAAGAATTCCTCACACTCACGATAATAAATGCACATCGCCTTTTAGTTACTACAAATAAAACTTCAGTGGTGCAGTTATTTTTTGTAATAAAGTATAATTTTTGTTCTCAACATGTGGTCACTTTGATATAGATTACTAACTACATCATGAGGCAAACAATTATACATCACTACAAATACATTCACTACAAGGAATGACCCCACCTTCAATAGAGTATTTTTTTTTTTGTTACTTTCCGATCATAATTTTACACTCCATTCTACATTCTAATTTTAATATCACACTCTCTCTGCACAAATACCTCTTCAGAGATTGAACAAATCATCCATTAGTACATAACATTTGAGCCATCATCAAATCCCTTACTGACCTCTGTTATCAGATTCCCTTTGTACCTTTCTCAGATAACATGACTTCACTCTACCACACTAACAAATTTATGTCAATTTTTAAAGAACTTACTTTGAACATCAACGTCAAATCCTTCGTCTGGGAACTTTTCATTACTTTGCAAAGCAACAAACATTGTGTCATCACCAAACAGATGTCTCAGTTCTCTAATCTACAATGAGAAAAAATAATTTTATTTTTCATGCCAATTAGTTACTTTTAAAAGGCATTTTGGACTTCTCTCTTCTTTTTTCCAGGAAAACAGAATTCTGCTACCCTATAAAGAGCATACATACCAATATCACTCATTTATATTTGGATTTTCATTATTGATGCATAAATGTTTGTTATTCCATAAAAAATAATTCTGCTAAGCAGATGACAGCTGCTAGCAAATTGAAAAATCACATTTCAAATTCATTTCTTCTTTTTTTTTGACAGCCAATGCCCATTTAATATAAAGCAAGTCTGATGAGGACAGGAAATAATTATCAACACACAACTGTGAAAATTAACAGAACACTTCCAGACACTTTGATGCTAGCTAACAAACTCAGTATTGCGATATTGGTGACCAAACAGCAAAAAAAAAAAAAAAAAAACCAAAACAAAATATATAAAATCCCTTCCTCCTTATAACAAATTTGTTGATTAGCTTTCCATGAAAAAAAAAACAAAAAACAAAACAAAAAACAACAGAAAAACACATTTCCAACAAAGCACTCAAAACTTACACAGATAATAAAGTTTCAGACTGAAATTGGATGCATAAAAATAAATGGAAGCAATGAATAAGTCATAGGTAATCTCTGCTGCTTTTCCTCTCTGAAATAACAGGGGTAAAAATTGGCACCGCTCCCAGAAGGCTAAATTGCATGTCTACCATCTGTGTACTCCTCTATAGTACAGAAAAGATAAAAACTACTCTGGCAGGAAAAAAAAATCCTTCCATTAAATCTCTGAACAGAAAAACAAGAGGCAAGATAACTGATCATTAGGTGAGACAGGAAAAGGACCAATCCAGAAACAAAAGCGTCATGCTCTTACCAGTAACAATTATAGCAGCTAAAACACTGTTTTCAACCTTTAGACCAAAGAGCTAGAAAGCCAAGCTTACATGTAACACTTCTCGTGCATATAAATAAATCAAACAAGGTCATCTTTGACATGTTTGGATGCAAGCCAAGAGAATTGGAAGTAGTTCATAAACCAAAAGCTTGAGGTGAAGTTCTCACCAAACATAAAGTGAAACAAACAACCGTGTCTGTATGGACTGCTGATCATTCATTATACCATCCATTATATTCACTGAAACACACTTGAGTTTCTGCCAAGGAAAGCAACTTGAATACATTGATCCCTGATAAGGAAATTTTCTAATTTCCACAGGCTTTGATTCATCCTAGTTTTTTTTTTTTTTAATAGGTCATTCATCTCAAATAAGATTCGATTGTTGTCATAGTCTCTGGAGTTAAATTAATCCTTATATTTGAAATTAAAGCTGAGAAACATAAGAAAGCCTTCATCTGCTTAATCCAAATCCCACCAAACTCAGAGCTTTTCTAGTTAGGAGTAATCCATGAGACATTAAGTCTGAGAGGTCAACAGCTGAATATCTTGTTCTAAAATTATCATCCTGTAAGTAACATCAATCACTATCATCTTCACTCAGAAGCAAAAACAATTTCTTCACCTGAATATCAGAATAAATACCTTCACAGTAAAGCAATGAATATAAACAAGTTTAACATGATGAGCAACTAAATTTCTCAACAAAAAGGAAAAAAATTGAATGGAACTTGGGCGAGAGGATAAATAAGTCACAACAAATTTGCTTTTATAGGCCAAAATTTCATTTTCAGAATCATTTCATTTTTGTCAACAGCCAAGCAAGGGCAATTTGATGGTCAGATTCTTTTGAAATGGCACTGTTTGAAAAGAATAATAACCATATGGACAATTTTTTCGGCAAGTTCACCTATCTTTTTATACATTCTTGTTACACCGCAATTTTGTTAAGAGACAAATGATAAACACCAACACAATAAATCCACTTGTCAATTCTAATGAGGCATATCCAAATCAATTCTTTACCTTTATAATTTCAAATTTCTAGGTTTTTTAGAAGTGCGTCATGAAAGTTGATTTCCACGGAAAAACACAAATGTAGATAGCAATCTTGCTATTTCTTTCTTTTTTTTCAATTTACAATATAATGCTATTCTTCATTTCATTCTTTCAGAACAGGACACCCCTACACCGGTATAGTAAAAAACCAATATTTACCAAAACACATCTTGATAAGGGAATGCAAACAGAATTCCGAAGTAATAACCTAACACGAATTATGTAAAACTACGCCATTATATATGACATTTTTAAGAAGATAAGAAGGTGGTTGGCCAAAAACTGACAAAATGCTAGGGATGCTTTCAAGAAGAAGAAAAAAAAAAAAAAACAGGAAGGAACTTCCAATTTATCCGAACTCGTAGCACCAAAGAATTTATTATGAGACCAACGTGTGAATGAAACCAATAGATTATTTCAGTCAATGACGAAAGTAAAATGAAATAGCTGATACTAGTTTCAGTTTCAGACGAAATTCGAATCCCGGGGTCAATAGAATATTCCGCAGACAAACTGTAATCAAACAATGAAAGGCTTTGAGTGATTAGCAAGCGTGAATATATTTTGTTTTGGCGAGCCATGAAATATTTCGGAAAAATACAAACAAGAAATCGAGATGGCGCAGAATTTCAACAAAAACCACATCAAAGCGGAGAGCATTTGCAAAGGATAAATGGCTCAACAATCTGAAATCGGTACCCTCATGAACTGAAGTGTGAAAATTGTCCATCACTAAGGGTATAAATAATGAAAAGAACGATCCACGTGGCGAGAGAGCGACTCAGTTTGTAAGCACTTTGAATTTAATGGAACAAATCGTACCCACGGGATTGAAGCGCAAGAAAGTGAAAGAAATTGAACACAATGAATAGAATACTTTCGTTTTACTTTAAACCACGACGGCGATCGAGAGAAACAAGCAACAGACTTGATCGGCGAAACGCTGTCAATACGACGGGGTGCAATTTACAACTTTGTTCATTTCGCTTCAACCCACAACCTAGCTTTCAAGTTTACACGCGTAAAAGATTGAATTCAAATCGTTTTCCCTTAACTAAATTTTCCGTGATAGCTTCTAAATATAAGTCTATTCTAAACGTTATAAACTCTGTGATGCAAATATCTGCCTACGACTCAGTCGGCTTTATAGCCTCCTCTCATCAAAGTTTATAAATTTCGACACGAGCCTTTTATACACAACTGACGCGCGCAAAAAATCTCACAGATGCCTCTCTTGTTCTATTCGACAAAACTAAGTACGTCGGGCCGCCTAACGGATTCTAAACATTTTTGGTGAAGTAATATCACGAACAAAGACTTCTAGCTCAAAACCAATGATAAATTATTAATGATAACCTAAAAACGAATGCCTCTCGACGCTTTGAATGAAGCAAGCGAATTAAATGGCAGATGAAAAACCCTTACCTGTTTACCGTCAACTGTGTGTAACTTGTCCACTTTCCCAAGCGTTCCCTTGGAGGACAGATGATCCAAAACTTGCTCCAGGTTAATCGCTGTTTTCGCATTTAGAAGCATGGTGACTTTCTTCTGTGGGGGTTTTCCGTTCTTTATTACTGTCACCAACTTTGGTTTGATGAAATCGCGAGTACCGTCGATCAAATGAACTGATGATGATGTTGGTGGCGCTTCTTTCTTGTGATGAGCGAGCGACCACGACGGTTTCATGTTTCCATAGCCAGCATCGACTTCTTTGAAGACATTAGTCGAAGAACAAACATAACTAGCGCCGTATTGTAGTTCGTTTACATCTGTGATCATTTGGCCCGTTTCAGCGTTGAAAATGTAGCGCACGGCCCCTGTGGAAAGTTCCAGCTTGTTTGATAGCTCGGCCAGCAAAGCATCGAATTCTTTATATCGCTCAGGCGATACAGCCAGTTTAAGCCCACAAAAAAATCGATCTCCATTCCGGTAAAAGCGAATTTGTTTGGCACTAAGACTTTGGTTTCTTCTCAGCAATGATGTTCGGTTAATTTCTTTTGAGGACGCGTTTCGTGAGTTCGATCGAACGAGGCCGGGAGACGGAGAGCGAGAGCGATCGTGGTCTCCGTTCATCATTCCATTCTCCATTATTGAACGTTTCGACGCAACTGGAAAAAGAGAAGGAGAATCGTTTAATTATTCACGTCGTGTATGACTAAGTTTCCTCGACGTGACCTTATAAATAAGCGGTTTTCAATCTTAGTAAAACGAGCGCAGAAAAACGCCACCGCAGAATAGGGAGTTACTTACATTCGGCCGGCGCCCGATTGTTCCTTTCCGCTTGGCACCCACTGGCTCTCTATCAGTTTGCTAATGCGTTTAGGGCTAAAACTCTGTCCAAGGAAACAAAAATAATAGCCTCATATTCTATTCTGAACTGGTGAGGGCCGAAATGCACCTGCACTAAGAGAACTTACGACCATCCACTGTAAACCTGACAACCGCGATTAATATTTTGACTTGTCCTGGCCCTGAAGTGCCGCCTTCTGATTGGCTAACGAAACGATGTAATAAAATAAAACATTACAGCCAATAAAAATGAGATCTTGCATTCAACAAGTACCCGTATTTCCTTTCATAGAATTTACCTTTAGGAAACCAGTAAAAATCAGTTTTTCACCCCAATTTTCTACAAAAGCTGCTCTTCTTCTCTCCCGATTACTTACTTTGGAAATTTATATCTCGCGGTTACTAGTTTTCATGTAAAACCGATGCTATCGAGTCACCTTTGTTTCAAATGGTTTTCTATGAATTATTGAAAAGTATAATGTGGATTCATTCATCGGATATCACTTTTCTTGTGAGGAAGCCACTCTTTTGTCTGGATTCGACGCGATAAAATTATTGATTTGTATTCTGGATTCATTAGTTCACAAGAAATTGAAAAGAGCCGACAAGCTTAGTGTTTATGATCTTGCTTCTACAAAATTATGTCACTTCCTATTCATGTAACCCCGAAATAAAAATACCTGCTTTCTCTCAAAGAAACCACAAGAATTCGCTGGTAGAAAATGATTCTTCGCGCTTTTTCTAGCATGCAAAGAAAAATCAGAGAAATTTTACAGGCCCCAGTCAACAGTAACTTGTCATTCGCTAAAAGAAAATACACATTTTGACTTAGAACCCCAAATTTTTTCCATAATGTAATCGCTCACGTCCGTTGCAGCTGGCACTGCTTGGTCAATTTCGAAGCCGCATGCAAAATTTCATCATTCTGGAGCTGTTCATATTGAGCACTGAAAGATGTCCTTAAAAGGAATTCGCTGGCTTCTTAATGGACTAGGAGCGTGTTTGGAATCATTACAGAGGAAAACGCACACATACGCTGAAAACATTATGTTTGTCAAATACGCCAAAACTTTGCATAGGAAAATTAATTGATGATAAAATGAAAGCCCTTGTAAGGCAACTTGCGTTTGTGTTTACCGTCAGATATCTTCTATGAGATTCGAAATCCCGGGAAGGAAAAAAAAACAATTTAAAAACAAGAAAAGCTGATCAAAATTTTCATTCTAACAAGCGCCAGGGATGTTACTCTTTATATATTCGCCTTGGAAAAATTATGTACAATACCAATACGATTGTCTGTTTGATTTTATATTTGTTTTCGTTAAAAAAAAAAAAAGAGCGATTGAGTTGAAAAGAAAACATTTGACGGGATTGAATAAATAGTTTTTTCCGTTGTCTCAACTGAAAATTTTCGCAGAAGTTTTCCATGGGGAATACTTTGGTTTCCCGTGAAGCAGCTGACTTCCACTTTACGTGAATTCAATAACTATAGAGGCAAATCATCTCGATTTTTCGCAAAAAAAAAAGCGTTTTTTGAAAAGGAAATATTCAAACTTAGAAAGTTTATTAAGATACCAAAACTGTCTCGCGCACTTCCGTAGTTTATTAATATGGTAAATTTGCACGATTATCGGGAGGTGCGAATATAACATATTGCGCTTAGCTCCCTGGGAGGGTGGACAGGAATGAAATCTTATTGTTTAAAGAGTCCAATTTCTCTTGCATCACCGCAAGGGTCGTGAATATGACTGCTTGAAAGCTGCACAGTTTGTGGAAAAACACGGAAATTTACCCGCCTTTTCAAATATAAGCTGCACACCCTAACAGAGTTTATCAATGACAACAAAAACTGTAATTAAGCGACTGAAACAAGTTGGAGTCGCGAATAAAGGCGTTGTCGTCCGCAGATAAACAATTCAAGTGATATCGATCAAGATATATCGTGATATTTTCCTAATAAAAGATTTATGCGCCATATTGTCAAACCAGATAACATGCCGGGGGTACATATTCAGCAAGATATCAATTTTATGGTGGAAACTGGTCGACATTCGGAGGATCTCCGTTAAGGGTCTCCAACCCATTTAACCATTCAAAGCTGAGCTCCACAACCATTCAGTCGGAACTTGCGGATGAGTTGCTCGAAAGCCAGCTATAGACCCTTCTTCTTGGGCGGGAGACCGAAAAAAATCTTATTTTGTTAATTAGAAAATAAAATTTTGGAGACGGAAAAGTATGTTTTTATCAGGACTAGCTAGCTATTGTGTGAAGCAGCAAACAAGGATTTAGCTCTAAGCACACCGGCAAGTGTTGCCTTTGAATGATTGAACAAATAACATAAAGAGCTTCGTAGACGTTGCCAAACATGCTGCGAGAGTTTATTGAAACTACCGACTAGCCATTGTTTACTGCCCTGGAGCAACCTAAGATGCTAGCGGTATCACTTAATCCTCTTTGCCGTTTCAATTTGTTTAACTGGGAGAGAATTCTAAGGCTTTTATAAGAAATGCAGAGAGGAAAATGTTCTCATTAGAATTGAGCAGGTGTTGCACTTCTGCGATGCTTTGTGCCTTGTTGATTAGAAATTCAAGTTTTCGTCTTAATGAACACAAAATTTCGGCTTGGCGTCAATTGGTAGTCTTGCCTAGCCTAAGTTGACGCAAAATTTCAAGAGAGGCGCTTTTATTTCGGATGACAGATCGATTTGTTCAGATTAGGGCAAGGAATTGGGAACTTGGAAAAGATGAATGCCTTGTTCTGTTTTGATAGTGAAAATAATTTATATTGAAACGTTCTCATCTATACACTTTGAAGGCATGATGAGGTTCTTAAAGTGTGTAGCTACAAAACTTCTTGGTTCACGGCATAAAGCGAATTGTTTTTCATAAATGTAAAGCGCATAATTCTCAATGAGTAGGCAACAGTGCACAAGATACCTAAAACTGAAAACCACTATTAGTTAATTTTGAGCATTGGAAATATTTAATTTCTTGTCTCTATCGCCAGTTACAAAGTCTTGGTATGTCTTTACAACCCATCCCTAACATTCTGGTTTGACAAAATTTGCATAGGCGCCTTTGAGAATTTATAATGTTCGTCTCGATCTCTTTGTCGATTTTGACCTCAAGAATCTTATCGCGGCTTGACGGTATTGTGATGACTCTATCTGGTGCATGGAAAACCAAAGTCATTAACACTCGCGTTGAATTATTAGAAATGTTGACGCCGTAAGGTCTGTCTTACATATTTTTACCGACTGACCAATAGAAATCACGAATTTCGTCAAAAATATTCTACATGATGAGATATAGGTTTGTCTTGATGCTCTCTCGTGATAAATAAAGCTTCATTTTATTCGGATTGAAGCTCTGCCAGAAATTTAGACTTACGCCAGGGAGAAGTTGCTTTCGTGAGCCACCTCCCTAGTTTTGTCATATTTCAACGCTGCGAAAGAAAAAAAAACAGAAACGTTTAAGAGAGCTACAAGAACATTTACAATGAATAGTATGCTCTCAGGTGCCACTGAATTGCCACTGGGAACTCTTTCTTCATTGAAATCTCCAGCGTTACGTCCTTTCTCAAAGTTCTTGTATACATGCATAGGATATGCGTGTATCCGGAAGGGAATAATCAGTGAAAATTTTAATTGCAAGCTACAAAAAATACTTACTAGAACTTAGCCGTTGTCTTACACAGGGTTAAGAAATAATCATAATTTCCCTAGATCAGAGCCGGGTTTAGCTTTTTTCTCAAAAGACTTTGGAGGCCGCAAAAACCCCTTGTAACCAAAACATCCTGAAGGAACCCCTTCCCACAGAGTTACGACACGTCGATGTCTCTGATAATCTTGCGATACGTGTGGTTCGATGGTCTTCCTCTGCACCGCGCTTGGAATATAAAAAAGCAGTGATATGTAAATGGAACATAGGTAGTTTTTCATTCATCGCCTGCAGGGGGGGTGGGGGATATTTGGGAATCGCAAGGGGAGGACTATACAAAACTTATCGCCAATTAACTGCCAATGAGGGCCGAGACCGAGGGGTGGGTCATAAGACCTTGGAGGATGCAAAACTCCCTGTAGCCCAAGCATCCTAAATTAACCCCTTCCCCTAAAATCTTACAGAGCCGTATGGGAGGATCGAGTAAACATCATCGTGACTTAACCACCCTTCCTCCCCCCCCCCGTTATCGAAAATGGCCGGTCCCTTAGTTTTATTTCCATTTGTCTTCTCTTCGTGAAAGAGAACAAAAGTGGGCTGAACAGCAGTTTCGTTTCAATGCACCTTATCACTAATTTGTATTTTCTCTGAGGGCATCTTCAGAGTCTCTTTGATGATCGTGATGAAAGCTTCACTATCAAGGCGACAGATGTGTTCAAGTTGCTAAAGAAAACTCAAAAAAAGTTTTTGGATCACGCGCCTGATTTTCGTTCCTGAAACCACTGAAAAGCCCGATAAAGTGAAGTTTAAACCACTCGATAGCTAAATGGATTGGATGAGGGAAGGGAAGGGGGGAAGAAACAGAATGATAGCGTATGGGAGGGGAATAACAAAGAAGTTCTATGTTTCCTGTCAGTTAAGGCAAGTTTTTATACAATAAAATTCTCTGTTCAGAGTTGAGTTGGTTTATTCAATTTTTTCTTCGTCCTTTGATTTTTATCTGTTGTAATCTTGAAAAGGACTTGGAAGAAGTCGAAAGTTTTTGTGTTTACGCTGAATTGATCTTTTGTCTTTAGGAACATGACACCTTTCCACCTTTATTCATTATTCTAGAGAAGTGTACTTTTAAATAGCCAATAAGGGTGAAGACTTTTTGGTACGGCTGTTAAAAGGCTCTTTACACCCAGACAGAAAGGTTTCGATTAAGTCATCTTAACGTTAGTTTGTAAACGATACATAACTCAACCTGGCAAAGTGATGCAAATGATGTACTTTAAGAGGCTGGAAAAATGTTGAATTTATGAGTCGTTATTCTAAATGGGTCTGGAAACACCCAACGGTTTGTTGACAGGGAAAGAAGTGTTGCCACTGGCTTCATTATTATTGCACTTGAAAATAGGAACGCTGAACGGCGGAGCCAAAAGAACGAGCACCGAAGCTGCATGAGAGGTTCGGGAGGGAGAAATTGTAGCTCTGCTGTCTGTGATTGCGGCTTCGCTGCCCTCTTAAAACATCAACGAGGCAAT